AGTAATTAGCATTGAAAAATGCCAGTAAAATCTTTCAAGGGTCATTTTGGCCACTAATTACTCTGCAATCGAATCGTCGACTGCATAGTCATAATCAGCAAGCTCTGAAAGTACCCATACTGTGATTTTCAGCAAAATCGAATTTTTGGCCAAAAACCACCAAAAATGTAAGTCTTACACTTTACAAAATTTTTAACCAAAATATACTTTTTTCTCAGAATTGAAATTTAAGGGGTTTAACTAATTAAGTACTTTCAGAATAACACACAAACCCTAAATCACACCTTGGAAACCCATAGTTGATGAGTAATTAGTATTGAAAAATGTCAGTAAAATCTTTCAAGGGTCATTTTGGCCACTAATTACTCTGCAATCGAATCGTGGACTGCATAGTCATAACAGCAAGCTCAGGAGTGCCCATTCTGTGATTTTCAGCAAAATCGAATTTTTGGCCAAAAATAACCAAAAACGTAAGTCTACCTTACAAATTTTTTGACCAAAATATACTTTTTTCTCAGAATTGAAATTTAAGGGGTTTAACTAATTAAGTACTTTCAGAATAACACAAAAAACCCTAAATCACACCTTGGAAACCCATAGTTGATGAGTAATTAGCATTGAAAAATGTCAATAAAATCTTTCAAGGGTCATTTTGGCCACTAATTACCCTGCAATCGAATCGTGGACTGCATAGTCATAATCAGCAAGCTCAGGAGTACCCATACTGTGATTTTCAGCAAAATCGAATTTTTGGCCAAAAACCACCAAAATGTAAGTCTTACACCTTACAAAATTTTTAACCAAAATATACTTTTTTCTCAGAATTGAAATTTAAGGGGGTTTAACTAATTAAGTACTTTCAGAATAACACACAAACCCTAAATCACACCTTGGAAACCCATAATTGATGAATAATTAGCATTGAAAAATGTCAGTAAAATCTTTCAAGGGTCATTTTGGCCACTAATTACTCTGCAATCGAATTGTGGACTGTATAGTCATAATCAGCAAGCTCTTGAGTATCCAAAGTGCGCTTTTGGTGTTAAAGTGTTATTCTGTAAGTACTTAATTAGTTAAACCCCTTAAATTTCAATTCTGTGAAAAAATTATATTTTGGGCTAAAAATTACCAAGGCTTACCTTTTTGACCCAAAAATTAGGTTTTGTTAAAAATCACATTATAAGTACTCCAGAGCATGCTGATTTCGAATACAGCTCCTCCCCGACTACGACCTACTCGACTTACGACCACCCGCACTTACGACCTGCCTCAGTCGTTCCCAAAAAATTTTAAATTACTGATTTTTGAATCCCAACGTCAGTACACAGAGAAAATTTTTTTTTGTAATTCACTTTAAAATGGCTGGCAAGCTTAAAAGTGAGAGTTTTGTGGGACTGAGAAGAAAAAGAGACACCCATTTTAGATTTTCTAGGTATTATTTAAGCATTCTCAACTTGCGACCTGGATTTGGGTCCCTAACCCCGTCGGAGGTCGGGGAGGAGCTGTATACCAACACCCTCTCTCATATAGTAACTAACATTGCCTTCAAAACAACCAAATTTTTCACAAAAGAAAAAGTAATATATTGCACCTTGTTGAGATACTGTACACAAAGTGTACAGTATATGTACACACCAAGTGACCACATCAAATCTATTGTTATTTGAATTATTGTGAACACATCAAGTTGTATAAGGTAACTCACCTGTAAGTAGTGGTGTGGATTAGACAAAGCTGTTGTGAGAGCAGCCCTAGGCATTCCCACCAAATGTCTCTTGACAACGGATGAAGAATCAAAGAAAAGTACCTCATGCAATGGTTGTTTGTTCAAGAGTTGTAGGTGCTGTTCAAATGTGTTTACTAGCACTTGTAATAACTCTGAGCGTAGTGACTCATAAGCATTTGGCTTCTTGGATTTTTTCTTTGCCATTTCTAGTAATTTCTGTGAAATGAAAATTTAAGAATTAGAGTATATATGCCTGAACCAAACTTAAGTCTTCTCAACTTACTGATGCTACCCTTCAAAGCTGTTGTAGATGATATAAAGTACAGTACATCAATATTCACAACAAAAGTCTCTTCATAGTGTGAACTGTGAAGAGATAGTGTAGATCTTTGAAGAATTTGCTTGATTATCGAATAAAATTCAATACCAAAATATTATCTGATTGAAGACTGAGATACTTAAATTTGGATAAGATAGAATGATTATGCACTAATATATGTAATTAAATGAGTGTAAGTATATCAATCTATTTATGGAGCTAGAATCTTTACAATACTGTACCACTCTTACACATTGAAAAAGGAAAACGATGTATTGAACAAATATTTGCAATAAGATAAGTGGGTGCTACTATAGTATGTGGTCTACCAGAATATTAACACTGTAGTATCCATTATCCCAACCTAAGTTTTTTACCCCCCCCCCTTTTTTTTTATTTCCCATTCTTTTCAGCAAATTTCTAAGAAAATTTCTACACAGACCATCACAGACATAAACTATCACAGCAGCCTCACACCCTCACAGACATACACCATTACAGCAGCCTCACACCCTCACAGACACCATCACAGACATAAACTATCACAGCAGCCTCACACCCTCACAGACATACACCATCACAGCAGCCTCACAGACACATACACCCTCACAGACATAAACTATCACAGCAGCCTCACACCCTCACAGACATACACCATCACAGCAGCCTCACAGACACATACACCCTCACAGACATAAACTATCACAGCAGCCTCACACCCTCACAGACATACACCATCACAGCAGCCTCACACCCTCACAGACATACACCATCACAGACATAAACTATCACAGCAGCCTCACACCCTCACAGACATACACCATCACAGGCATAAACTATCACAGCAGCCTCACACCCTCACAGACATACACCATCACAGCAGCCTCACACCCTCACAGACATACACCATCCAACAGCCTCCACACACACTCTCACACATACACACCATCACAGCAGCCTCTCACACACTCACAGACATACACACCATCACAGCAGCCTCACAGACATACACACCATCACAGCAGCCTCACACACACTCACAGACATACACACCATCACAGCAGCCTCACAGACATACACACCATCACAGCAGCCTCACAGACATACACACCATCACAGCAGCCTCACACACACTCACAGACATACACACCATCACAGCAGCCGCACAGACATACACACCATCACAGCAGCCTCACAGACATACACCATCACAGTCCGGTGCTCTGAGTCCCAAATAGGAGTTGCAGATGTGGGGGAGCTTGGAGCAGTACACACAGCTGTCCTAAATGAGTGAATAAGCAATTACCCAAACGAACAATACAGCAATGTTGTTAGCCTCGGTATAGTAAGAGATGTACTGGGCGGGCGGACACCAGTCAACATTAGCCAATCCACTAGAACAGAGGTCCACGCCTTACCGCCTAACTAGCCTGCCAAACGACCAATTTTCCATCTGCCACTCTATGCGTGTGGCACCATTGCCTTACTTCCTGGAGTATGTGGGTGATCATCAATCAGCCCTTGTCCAGAGGCATTGTTATCTTGATTTTTCCCTGATTTTATCTTGGCGCTTATTGTTAAAATAAAATTTAGCATTGTCTACACTGGCAAGTTTTCATTAAACAGTCTCTCTCTCTGTGTGTGTGTGTGTGTGTGTGTGTGTGTGTGTGTGTGTGTGTGTGTAACATAGCTGTGAGCACTACAACAGCATACAAATAGTGTAAATAAGTTTAATAAATTTAATTATCACTATGGGTAGGATACACTGGAGGAAGCTAGAGGATTTGAGTTCAGGGAATTAGTACAGTACATTACTACATCAGCACGGCACAATTATCATTATTACCACCATATTAAGGCAACTGACAATTAACGATCATAGTGGTAAAAATATCAAAGACTGCAGTAAATATTGATGTGAAGAAAACACGGAGGCAATTTAGTCCCTCTAACTCTAATATGGGAGTAAAACAGGGAAATGGAATGGAACACAGGTCTAGAATTCAATCAGCTATAGACAGTAATTCTGGGGTTTCAAGTAGTGTTTGCATGTGTAATAGAAATGAGATGGCTTGGGTACGTATGGAGTAAAATGAATAACAGAAAAGTAAAAGGAATGTGCAGAAATGGTTACCTCCTAATTCTACTGCAACAAAGTCCAATGGGTCTTAAATATGATATACAGTAGACCCTTGCCATTCGAGGGTTTGCGATTCGTGGTTTCGACGATTCGCGGTAAGCAGATGGTGGCTAGTTTGCAAACCTTTTCCCGCAGCATCTCGTGTTGTACTCTCAAAACTTTAGTGTTTCTGTGTGAAATGACCCCTAAAAGAATGCCTAGTGTCAGTGCTAGTGATGCTAGTGGAGTAAAATGTAAAAGGCAGAAGTCAGTGATGACCCTGACAAAGAGAGTTGAATTATTAGATAAATTAAAGAAGGGATGAGTGCTGCTGTGGCTGGTTGGTTGTTTGGTAAAGGTATACAGTAGTACACTAAGGTAGTACAGTATAAGTTGCTACTCACGGTTTTGCCTATTCACGCCATTCCTTGGAACAAGGGTTTACTGTGCAGACCTGATGTAATACTGTACAGTATATGAATTTTGCACACATACAGTACTTTGTATATCCTTCTCGGTTTGTGTTTAATTTTGTGGTGAATATGATAAGTCAAGCAACGAGCATGGCACAATAACTATAAAAAGCCATAAAACACTCTGACAAACCTCTTTCAGATGGAATCTGTCTGATGATTGAAAGCTGAGTTGTGCTTCATCAGCTGGTGAGTCTTTTATTACTTGGTCCAGCTGGTCCAAACTATTCAAGCGCCCAAGCATAATAGCTAATTCATTATATAATTCTGATAATTCTTCATCTTGGCCGCTTTGTTCTGTGAATTAAAAGTAATAATAGTGTATTAGCATTCAGAAAATTTAGGAGTATCTCACAAACCTCTTACAAAACTACACAGAGAAAGAGAGCCACAGGTAGGCCAACAATAACATGGAGAGAGGATGTAACAAATGACATTAGACAAGAGAGGCAGCAAGAGATTGTGCAGCATGGAGTGCTGCTATCAGGTAACAGTGACTAATCCATCCAAACGTGGAAAATGGCCATAAAACATTGAAGATGGTGATGACAGTGGATGTACTTAAAGACATGGGAATCATCAAATGAAAGACTAAGAAACTGTTAATCCTCACCACACAATTCTTATGTAAAAGTAAAGCCTCCACAGTTCCACTGGTACTTAATAATTTGTTTTGTTTTTTAAATGTGCTGACCCTAAATAACATAACAAATTATAGTAAAAAAAGTACTCTTAACAGTTCACTTGCATACATCCTTACTATATATTACATCAATTAATACTTTGGCCTTCTGCAGTTACTACTCCAGAGAGACCAGTGAGATTCAATGTAGTACTGTACTGTTAGGAAGGAAGTCAATGTGGTGGCTGAGGAAGGATTTATAAATTACCTGCATACTGCACCTACACTATCTACATTTTGTGTTTCTAGCAAGAAATACAATCTAAACAGACCCATCAAAAGGCATTGTAAAGTTTTTTGAGTTGTGTACTATATCTGTACTGTATACTGGTTCAGACCTCTACTTCCCTTCCTTTTGATGGATGAAAACTATTGGATTTCAGGTGCTTATAAAAAACTGGTGAGTAGTGAGACAGGTTGGTAGCTCAATTTACTGAGTCTCTTTCAACTATGCAGTAGATCTTTTAATACTGCATATATAAATGTCACGATCAAATACCAAAACCGACAACAGGTACAGTAAAGTATCTGGCAATCAAAAAATCTACTTTAAGAAAGGTTTGAGCATTCTAAATATAAAATTTAAGAATATTGAATAGAATAACATTCTTATACTTTATTTTTTACATAATACATATGTGTAAATGATGATAAATTGGACAATCAGGCAGCTGGCTGAGTAACTGTGCGTGTGTGGTGATGTGAGTGACGAATCTACTTATCTTTACTTAAGCTTGAGGAGTACCGTAAGTTGGCTATATGGTGACTGTAGGAAAGTGATAACACTGAAAACTTATCTGTAGACTTAATAACATTGAATGTTGGAGAATGATGAAGTAAGTTACAGAGGAGTCTCGATAATTCATGGGTTTGGTACCAGAAGACATTGTGAATTATAGCTAATTGAATTAAATGGAAATAATTAGTTTGGATCCACAGACAAAAAATACCCATAACCTGTTCCAAAAACTGCTTTAATAAGCATTAAACATCATAAAACATACAGCAACACAGATATTGTACAAAAAAGTAATTCTACAATACATAACAGCTCCTTCCCTTCTCATAATCATCCTGTGGGTTATGCCAAGACAACAACATTCAGACAGGCAGGCTGTGGCCATGCTATGTAAACCAGGAATTTAATACAAGTATCCCTCGAGATATGAATGGGTTTGGTTAAAGAATAACCATTCATTAGGTGAATTTACATATCACGAATAAAAGAATACTGTATACTGTGTGGGAAAAATAGGGTTCGGTCCCCAATGAACAAAAGTACTCCAAATGACTCCAAAAACACAAAATTGGTTTGCAAACAAGAACAAAACCTACCCAACTAAAGATAAATAGTACACAACTACTCTTAATTTACTACCTAACACACGAGAGAAGAAAAAACCTACAATACCGTACTTAAGCTCGGTACATTACCTTATGGGAGGGCAGTCTGTGCTCTCTCTCTCTCGCTCTCTCTCTCTCTCTTTAACAATTATTGCACTATATAAAACCACATATAAAATAAGACAAAAAGAGCATGGGTGTGTACGTGTGAGAAGTGAACGTGTATGTAGGTGGTGAGCAATAAACCACGTCTCCGACTCGCCAGTCTAACCGCCGTGTTTATTGTTGTTTGTAATGAAACTATAAAAGTTGTTGGAAAATCTTTACAATATTCTAATGTGGCTTAGAAATATGGAAAATATAATATAGAACTATAAAGTAAGAAAAATCAAGAGCATATGTGTGAAGTTAATGTGTTATGAGGTGGTGGGTTACAACTTTTATGGTTTCTTATGTAAATAAACACAACAACAGCCAGCACTTGGTGGTGAATTATGAATATATGACTGCAAAATTTAAAAAAGAGGTAGTAATAGAAGTACAGGGTACTGTACCTGCAAATTTAAGAATGTGAATTTATATTTTGTGAATTATCGTGAACCTACTGTACACGTATTTGCAAACACTAATAATATAACCAATCATGTTTATGGCAGTATCCACTTTATGTATTATCCATTTTACAGAAGCATCTTGGTCCCAAACTTTTTGCTAGACAAATACTTACTATATAATGTATATATAAGATCTACCATCATAATGAAGATAAACCGGGTGTTCCTACCTTTTAAGATCTCCAAAATATTTGCTAGGATGGGCAAGAGTTCTTCACGAGCCATGAGTTTCAACATCTTCTGAGCTTCCTTGAATTCTTCAGATTCAACCAGTGGTCGTGACAGGCAGGTTGCTAATACTTCCCTTATCTGGAAAAATCTTTAGAATTGTTTAAAATGCTCATGCATAGAAAAAATCTTAAAATAAAACCGTTTTAAAATGAACATGTGAAAAACCTGTCTGTCATATTTCTACACATTTCAGTAGCAGTTTAAGTCCTTGTCTAGTGCAGTAATGCAAGACTGTACACCCTTTAAAACACAATTCGTACAATAAAATGGTAAAAATTTTGCCCTCAATTGTCAAAGCAATTTTAGTGATTCAAACCTAAACTGCTATCTTGCCAATTAAAGTGGGTGTGTGAATAATTCGGGCTGAGGCCCCACACTTTTCCATTAACTGTTTACCATTTAGCAGAGTTGTAAAAATTTCTGGACTTTGTTACTTAAGTAAAAGTATTGTTACATTGGCAAAATGTTGCTAAAGTAGAAGTAAAAGTATTCAAATGTCAATGTACTCAAGTAGAAGTAAAAGAGTACCTCATTCTTAAGGTACTCAAGTAATGAAAGTGAAAAGTAGAAAAAAAAAAAAAATCATTATTTGTCTCAAATATTAAAATAAATCCACAGTAAATAATAAAAAAAATAGTTAACTGAAGATAAACATAAGACACATTGCATAACACAACTTTATTTGCAAATCTTTCTATTAAGATTAATCAATAACTTATTTTCAAAATTATGGTTGTCCAATCAGGATCTTTTAGGCCTAAATATAAGCCCAGCTTGACCTACCGAAAAAGAATACGTTCAGGCGTTCTTCTCCCTACAATCCATCGCAGGGATGGTGAATGGGTTGAAAATATATCCATCCAACACTATGATCACTTTCTTCCTTATCCACACAAGAATTGTCAATGTGGACTTAAGGTCCACAGGTCCACAGACATAATGTTGTTTCTGCTCGCATTAGGTTAGGATACAGACCTATCTGGCATGTACAGTATCTGAGGTGGGAGATGACCCGCACTTCTCTTCCTGTAAACTCTGTTACAGTTCCAAAGTTAAAACACTTCAACACTATTGCCATGACTGTCCCCACTGTCAGGGACCTCCTACCACAGGGAGGGTCACTAACCACTTTATGTCACCACCTACTTATTCGTAATATAATTTAGATTTAATTCTTGTACGCTACCCACACTTTGGTGGGTGCTAACTCTCATTGTCCTTAAATCATATCAATATTGTCTCCATATCACAAGTCATAGCATGTTCTGTGAGACATGAGTACCAATGTGTTAGTGTCTGACTGCATGGTCTTGTGACTAGGCTTGTTACCCCTTGGGGTGTAATAAATTAATTAAATAACAAATAATAAGCCCAACATGACTAAACAGATGCTCACAAGCAGCACATGCAGGTAGTGGGGTGCTAAGCTTCAGAGATAAGTCACATAATGTCGAGAAAGACTTCAGTATCTCCATTCCATTCCCTAGGCATTCCAAGTAGCTATCAAGCTCCTTTAGTTGAGGAGTTTGTGGATGATTGTTGCCATAGTGACTGAGTGTGACTTCTTTTTTTTTTACAGGAATAGCCCACCCGGGCACAGGTCATCAACCCAAAATGGGGACTGGGGGGGGGGATAAAAGTAAAAATAAATTAAAAGAGAAGAGAATTATTTTTGTATTAATCTACACCATGAAGATGCCTGAAAACCAGCTTTTTGAAGTGAGACAGATTGTAAGAGTATGAAAACACAGAAGAAGGCAGGGGGGGGGAGGGGGGGGAGGGTGGAGTGGTAGTTAGTCATCTAAGCAGAATTTTAAATACACTCAGTCTCACACATAAGTATAGATACAGGCTTTATATGCAAGATGGGATTATGTAAAGCATTTTAGAATCACAGCCTCTCTGAAATTCATTTTAGGTACAGGTACAGTACAGTATACGGAAGGAGCAACTGACATCTAACTGGAAGACCAAGCCCCTGAAGGAAAGGTGGGTAGAAGAGAGGGATTCCATGGGGAAGCGAGGATAAGAGGTGGGTGGTCAAGGTGCTAAAGGACACAAGAAGATCACCTTACCTCACGAGACCTCTAGGTGCCTACAGTACAGGAGTGCGCAGGCTCTCAACTGGCTCAGCCATGTTAATTCAGGTACTCCTCGACTTACGACCTACTCGACTTACGACCACTCGGATGCACGACCACCGCAGTCGTACAATTTTTTTTTTAAGTTACGTATTTTCGAGTCCCGAAATTAGTGATTGCGCTGTGTACTGATAAAATTTTCGTTTATAATTCCCTTTAAAATGGCTGGCAAGTGTAAAAATGAAAGTGAGTGTAGCAAAATGCAGTATAATTATTAAACAAGTGAAAAAAAAATCAAAAGGGGGCAATTTCTTCACCTAAGAGACAAAAAGCTTTTCATCAAACTCATTTTTCTTAGTTTTATCTCAGTTTATTGTAGGATTGCAATATCAAATACTTCATGAACAAACTATTCAAAAACAAAACATCCACTCATCAATCCCATCCTAATATTATATGTCCAAAATATTGCTGCCACTGACATGTTTATTACTAGATGGGCAGCAAGGAAACCCAAGACCATAAAGCTGGTCCTAGAGGCTTGGGTGACACACTGCTTCACCATACTGTACAAGCAACCAATTCTAATTTTTACCTGTCATTATGCATTATATGGCATCCTTATTCTCCTCTTCATACTGGGAAAATATTACTTACATGCCAAAGATGGTGTGAGCTAAGACTGTCATGGTCACAATTGCACGGCAGGTATTCATCTCAACAATTAATTATTCATATTATGCTCTACTGTCCACAAAACATGCATGAAACATGCATGGGTATACTTTTTGTACTGTTCAAGTGCATATTAAGGCTGATGTTAGGGCTTAGGTTGATTTAGGCTGTGGCCCTCAATATTTCATTGTTTTTCCTTTACATGTCCCTTGTATAAACAGTCGACCCTCGTTAATTCGGACTAATAGGGGGGGAAGGGTGTCCGTTTTAGCCGATTGTCCGAATTAACCGATTTAGGGGCTAATATTGCATTATATTTCAAAGTCATTGTTTTCATCACAATTTTCTCCCACTTTCCACTGTAATACGTACGTAATTTCAGCAAAAATATTACATTTCCGTGAATGTATTATATCAAGCACAGTATGAATAGAATACCATTGTAATATAACAGTATTTTAACAGAAAACTACTAAAAAAACGAATAACATCTCAAGATCATTGGAAGCTTAGGTAAAGTCTTTTGTTTTCGTCATGTATTTTATCCTATTTTACATTGAAATACATCACGTTTCAGCAAAACTACTATTTATTTCCGAGAATATATTCATTCAGGCACAGTTAAGGTAAAATATACATGTGATGTAACAGTTTTTTAACTGAAAACGATTCGAAAAACACGTGTACCGTGTAGCTGATACTCAACAGTTGGTGGTGCGTCATGTGTCGTTGTAAACAATAGGAGGTTGAAGTAGATTACAAGGTATTATATTAAGTGTGAAATATCAAAAAGGTTTTTATTACCGGTATTTTTTGTAGATCAATGAGAACTGTGATACCGTATATGATATGATACGTTTCCATTGTTTACTGGCAGTAAATGGTAAATATTTTTCATGTCAAGCTAAAAGTTGCATCCCCCCCCCCCACACTAACGGTGGAGATGTTACATTTAACCAAAAAGATGCTGGTGTTTTATCCCAGCAGTGGGTGGACCAGCATTTTAGCTTAAGGTCCGCGTAGGTAATATTCCTACAAATCTTAAAAAAAAAAAGAATAAAAAAAAAAGTTCGTTCAGATTTTGTCCGAATTATCCGAAATCCGGATTAAAGGGGTCCGAATTAACGAGGGTCGACTGTATGTTCTTTAATTTTATTATACTAATTTATGCAGTGTATGATTTCTCCTCACTATGAAACCCATTTAATTTGAGTTAATGAGGCTTATTATTAAGAACCTGGGGAAGGTAATACGAATTGTTAAAAGGTTTACCCTTCTTATAAATGTGACCACTAACGGCAGGGGTGTTTCTCAATGCTATCACGATGAAGCCTCGCCTCTTATTTTGACTAGTGGTAAAATCCTGATAAAGAGGAGTGATGGCATAACACTGTATTGATGTTGGCTTAATGGTGTCACCCGGAGGATGATTAAGAAAGGGGAAGGAGCTGCTCATAGTATAGTGTAATGTAAAACTACTTTGTGTACAATATCTATATGTTACTGTATGTTTTGAAGAATTATGTATGATGTTTAGTGTTTATTATAGCAGTTTTGGAACAGCTTATGCGAATTTTTTGGCCTCTAGAACCCAACTTTTTAATTTAAATAAATTACTTCTTGCGATATGAAAATTCACGAAGGCTTAAGGTACCCAAACCATGAATTATCGTGATTCCACTATACTGTACTAGTGAACCACTAACTGGCTTGACTCAAAATCAAGTTTGGTCAAAGAAGTTGTTAGTTAGCCATTTTCAATACAAAATAAGTGACCACATCCCTATGGAAGCTAATCATTCAAATGATAATCTTGGAAAGACTTAGCAAGACAGATATGTCTATAATTTTTGTCTAATACAATAAAACAACCAACACCTTAGGAGGAATAGATAAAACAAAACATTAAGGAGTAAAGTACTGAGGCACCGCAGAGAAGAAATGAGTCTAACCTACTATGGCGTTTCCTTTCCATTTTCCCAGTTACATAAAATTCCTACCTGTCGCCCAAGAGGAGAATGAGGCAGTGAACTTGTAAGTGCACTGACAACCTTGACCAAACAGCAAAAACGCAGGTACCAAGAGTCCAGTTCAGTCATCAATGTGCGAACTGTGGACTGGAGGGAGTAAATTAATAAATATAGTTAGTGGGTCAACAGCAATAATGTGCAACAGACACTCCGTGTTTGCTAATGCTGTTTTCATGAACATCAAGAAATATGAACTAGAAAATGTGATCACTAAAACACCCCCCACTTCTAAGTCAGCATGTTTAAGAGTACGGTACTGTATCAATACAATATTGAGATTTAAAAACAAAATATTCAAGACTATGGCTTAGTTTGGTGTTCTAGGACACTCAAGATACATCCTCAGACTGTAAGGTTTAATACCCACCTGGTGTACTGTATAGTACTGTAAGGTTTAATACCCACCTGGTGTACTGTATAGTACTGTATGGTTTAATACCCACCTGGTGTACTGTATAGTACTGTATGGTTTAATACCCACCTGGTGTACTGTACAGTATACAGTACATACAGTATAATAACAAATATATATAAGTAATACCAAACACCCTTTAACTACAGTATTTTAAACCTTGAGCTGTACTGTGCTTGAAGTACGTCTCTTGGGGGTCACTTTCCCAAACTCCATATTTCCCATTACAAAAAGCACCTGGCAATCACATGAAAATTCTAAAACATAACCCCTACTGTTGGCGAGGGATAACGGTATCTCCTAGCCATATCTCTTTCAAGAATGTAACCATCTTGGGACATGCACACCACCTATCCATATAAACCAATAGTCCCAAGTCGTATTGAATTCCACAATAAACTACAGGATGAATTGATTTTATAATTTCAAGATTACAGACACAAACACATCAACTGCCATATCCCAACCAACTAGTTTGGAGTGGATAAATTAAAACACCCACTCATACCTTAGTCACTTTCTCATCAAGAAGAAGAACCGCTTGTTCCTTGGGTGGGCGGTTTTCAACGTAACTCCTGAATGATGGCAATTTTCGAATGATGTCCAACTGTGCTGGTGTCATGGCCCTGATGCGCAAAGCTCTTTCAGGTGCAGAACAGCACAGAAATGTAGAGGAGTTTCCCAGGAAATGCTCCATCATACACAGCTAAAGTGAAATATTTATAATGTAATCTGGATCCTCTGTCAAATGGCCTAAAATTTTGGTACATGCTACAAACTTTATAGGACACATAGGAACTAACAAGTTTCCAGCAGTCTTCAAAGAAACTAAATATTAACTCTCTCTCTCTCTTATTGTACAGTCCCCTTCACGAGAGCGTTTACAAGGGCTCGTCAGGTTATGTGCAGTGTGGCAGCACTGTATTTGGTTATAGGAAACTCGCAATAGTAAACACACTATAGAATCAAAGTGAAAACATATTAAACCAAATATATAAATGTAAAGATTTGTGGAATGTTTATATGTTTAATAAGAAATGCATTAAACAGACCGTTATTAGATCATATCTTTTGCCTAGTGGACAGTGGTATAGCAAGGTGAAGTGATGTAAAGAGAATGTGGAGTGGGAGGGGGAGGCAACAGAGAGGGAAGTGGAGGCAATGTTCAGTGGAATTGACATCCTGTGTACCGCCGACAAGGCCGTGGGCTCGTGACAGACGTCTTGCCCGCAGTGCCCACCGTTTCTCTGTGGATGTCAGTCACACTAGAATGACCCGTTATAATACATACTTCTTTCCTCACACAGCCAAACTGTGGACTGCTCTGCCTTCTTCTGTGTTTCCACACTTCTACAATCTCTCTCACTTTAAAAGGCTGGTTTTCCGGCATCTTCGTGGTGTAGATAAATATAACCTTTTGCTACTCTTTTTTAATTTCTTTGTTCTTATTTTTTCGCCCCCCAGGCCGTGGGTCGTTGACCTGTGCCCGGATGGGCTAATCCCCAAAAAAGATGCCCCTCTACCTACAGTCATGGTATTCGTTAATGATGAACTATTAACACTCAATTGAGGCTTAAGTTTATATCTATTATTTTCCTCGTCTGCTGTATTATGCAGATACATTCATACAGTTTGAAGTTAATTGCAGTAATTCTTTTTTTGCATGTGCTTGTTGCTTGCTAGAACATGCAATAATGTAATAACAATAAGAGTGCTTGCAATCTGTCTCAGTATCCAAGGTGCATGTCATGTCTGGTTATGTAAGGATGGTGAACTGTAAATGAAAATACTGTATGCCTCTTTTCTAAGCACAACTAATTCCCTTTCTCTAAGCTATATCTACTTCTTTATCTATAAAGGAATCAGGGCCAAGCGAGGAGTGTAAATTGACTGATCATTGGTAACATATCGTGATCAGTGTTTGACACTTGTGTCATTTAAGAAACTTTCAATCAGTTGTCATTTCAAAGATTGTATTTCTTGAAACCAGTATGAAGGTAACATTATGTGTTGAATATGTTTGTAAATACATTATGTGTGGTGAAGGAAACTTCAGACTTCTGTCCATCTCTTTTATTAAAATGAAAACATGTTGGCAACACCTAAGTTGTTAATGCAACATTTCATATTCATTCATCACAGGTGATAATGGGAGATTTTCTTCTGATCTAGCATTTTGATGTAATCGCTGTATCGTGGTGATGAATGGCGTATATAACGAATTTTCAATGTAATACATAATGAACTATATAAGATAATAATCAATGACTACCGTACGACAGTTTATGGTCCATATCGACCACACGCATGCACGCACCTTTACAATATTTTCTTCCTTTACTAATTAAAGACATGTAAAATATCAATGTTATAATATGTTATGTTGTTCAATAATGGTGTGAATTAACAGCAGCCTTCCTTCTCACAACACCTTGTCTGTCTTCCCACCTCACACCAAACATGCACCCCAAGTGGTCTTAGCCTCCCTTGTCCATGGATGCAACTGATAAACGATTAGATAACTCTTTATGAAAGAAAATATATACTGTACTGTAGTACCTAATAACAGCTAGGATACTCCTTCAGCAAGTGAAATTGTTTTAAGAATGTAGATAAAAATAATTTCACACAAACATCTTTAATACAACTTATTAAATAGAAGAGAAATTAAAGTTTACAATTGGAAAATAATAATGGAAGACTTTCTCTAACAAACATATAGTAGTTCTGGCATAGAGACCTCATAGTTCCTCACCAGTTAGTGGTTGGCCCGGAATAATTCCCACTCAGCCTTTGTGTGGTCCATCAGTTCTGCTGGTGTCCTTTCCCTTGCCGGCTCCCAGGTATTAATGATAGAACCCCATAGATTTTCTAAGGTGTTCATATTGCAACCAATGCTAGGGCAGTCCATCTTTGAAATGTTATCAATATTAATTGCAAGGGTGAGGCTAAGGCCACTTGAGGTGCATGTGTGGTGGGAAGGAGTACGAGAAGGTGTTGTAAGAAAGACGGCTGCTGTTAATTCATACCATTACTGCATAACATAACATATTATGTTGATATTTTACATATCTTTAATTGAGAGAGAGAGAGAGACGAACCATAAACTGTCATATGGTAGTCATTGATTATTATCTTATATACAGTAGTCCATTTTGTATTACATTCAAAACTCGTTATATACCTTCCTCCACTTCCCCCCCACCCACCCCACAGTCACTTTACGTCACTTCACCTTGTTATATCACCGTCCACTGGGAAAAAGATAAGATCTAATAAGTCAATTTAATGCATTTCTTATAAAACATATACACATTCCACAAATCTTTACATTTATAGTCGTATATTTGTTTTGATACTTTTTTACTTTGATTCCATAGTATGTTTACTATTGTGAGTTTCCTATAACCAAATACAGCGCTGCCACACTACACACAACCTGCCGAGCCCCTGTAAACGCACTAGTGAGAGGGACTGTAATTGATACTTCTACATCAATATTTAAAGGTTATATCATCATTCACAAGGCAATGTGTGATTAATAAGCAGACTAAGTGGCCATTAGTGGTACAATCTTATACCCACTGTCATAAAGCTTCAACTGGTTCACAAAAATCCAGACCATAGGGGTTCATATATCTATCATATCTCAACCTGTCCGATATATGATTTTTTTTTTTGTGTATTAAGAATCAATTTTAATTATACATCACCTTGTAATATGTAAACTCTACTAGTTCATCACAATGTGAAAAGATATAACATAATGTATAACTACACATGAAAAATTTTTTTTTGTAAGGTACAGTATCTGACAGATACACTTGCTCCAAAGCATCTTTATGATATTGTGTGAGACAATATGACACAATGGAAGAAGGATTTTGACAACCTTACCAAGACAACAGGAGTTTCAGTGTTCATTTTGAAATTCATCAGACCCTTCCGTAAAGATACTTTTTGGAGCGAGTGTAAACACAAATGAATACTGTATATCATTATCCAATAATGAGTGAAGTTTGTCCCCCCCAAATTTCTCTGATTATTGTTATGATCTCCTTGACTGTCAAGTCAGTAATATCATAATTCATTCCTTAAATCAAATTATCCTTAACTGAAAACAATATTTTATAAATATCTGTTCTCAGAGTGACTTGAGAATCCTACGACTATCAGTGATGTTTAGATCTAGTGGGTAGTTCGGATACAAGTCTTAAGTTCCGAAGAGGTTAAGAGCCACCAACTGCTAAACCATACTGTACTAACCTTAAGTCCTTTGACAAAGTTTTTAACCGAAAGATCGCTGTAGAGGAATATATCAAGGAGCAACTTGAAAGGACGACCTCCAATGTGGAATGGCACTTTTTCTGTCATCAAAACCTGAAAATATTGATCATAAAGTCAATTATAATTATATGAAAAATAACCTCACGTGTCAATCTGACAGCATTTTTTTTTTCAGTCACCAAGATTTTAATAACTAGTAAAAAATATATATGGTATTTATCATAAATATCTAAAGAAAACACTTCAATGCTCTCAGTTAAAATAAAAGTATGTTACACAGCATAATTTTCATACTGATTGAAAAATAAGACTTCCATTGGGTTAAAATATAGTCCACAATTAAGAACCAAAAGTAATCTCCATGTTAGCCAGAATCCCTGGTCCTCGAAACTCTCAAGAGCCGGAATGGATTTTGAGCCTTCCAGGAAAACTCTCTCCATTCCGGGCATGGGAATAAGTTCCGAGGATGAAATCATGCGCATTTTCATGAAAAATTCATAGAAAAATCTCTCCAAATCTGTCTGTTTTGCGCATTGTAACAAACTTTTTGGAGTTTTGAGTGATTGTATTAGGCTGTGACGCATCCCTATGTGCCGGGCGCGTGGGTCGGCTAGTTGCTTTGGTAACTTAGGCCGTAGGCTCACAAGCGTAATTCATATTCTGCTGCCACTGTACAAGGCTGATCCCTTGTTTGCTGCTACTTTTTCATACAATTTGTGCTGTGCAGTATGGTATTGTACATTACTGTATCAGGACACAATCAGCCAAGAATACAGTGTTAAAGCAGTGTTAAGACATAAAAAGTGATTTCAGGTATGTATACTGTACTGTAAATTCAGCAGAATGTACAGTGTATGCCTACTGTTGGGTAGTGTTTAGAGATGTATGTACAATAGGGAGAGGAGAATGACAGAAACACCAACTACAAAGACAGGCCATCCTGTATCATCATATCACCGTTAGGCCTGCCTGCATTACAAGCTCAGGACGACAGCATCTGCTGGTGAGTACAGTACAGGCATGACCCCGGGTTATGGAAGGGTGTTGCCGACCTCAGCGGAAAATAAAAATTTTTATTTACGTGTAAATATTTTTTATTGTATATAACTGTGTTTACGTTTTTCCTTTATTATACTACAATATGATTAGTTTCAAATAATTATGTTAGTAAATGCCGGTATAGTGCATCAGTGATCAGTGTGACTACTGGGCCGTGAGTGGAGAGCATGGCGTGGTTAAGTGCATGACCTACCTGAGATGTTTGGTGGCTACTGTTATTCCTAAAAGAGTATTTGCGGTTTAAGCTATTCGCGGCGGTTTCAGGAACGTAATTCCTGCGAAAAACACGGGATTACTGTATACTATAGTGTACGTGTGCAGTGGTGTTTGCGGAAATAAATACAGCTCTGTGTCTGTCCATGCGGTATGCGTAGTTTAGACTCTCGGAAAACTTATCCCTTTACAGTATACCTGGAAAAATTCCGGGGCTGAGAAAATTTTCTCAATACCCAGAAATCTCCATCAATTACTCCAGCTAATGGGGATATCACTATACAGGGGGGCCCCCAAATTCGCGGGGGTTAGGTTCTCAAATTGGCGTAAAATCGCCAAATCCGTGAATAACTTTGAGGACTGGGGGGTGTACATTTTACTTGTGTACAAAGAAATGTATATTCCCTTTAAGTGTTTGTCTTTCAGACAATTTTTCTTTTACCTGTATTGTATATATGCGTGTGTGTGTGTATGTAGACACACACACAAAATACATATAAATAAATAATAGTGGGAAAATACTATCACAAATAGTCAGAAACAAATTTATTAAAATTGTGACAGTCTACACAGACTTAAGGGTAGACTGTCACATTTTTAATAAATTTGTTTCTGATACAGTTAAAGGAAATTACTGTCTCTAGAACGAATGGCTCCCTGTCCCAGCTGCAAAAATGCTGGCAACTTTAAAACTACCCACAGACATTCATGGGTACATCCAGGGTGTCATCCGCGAATAATAGAGGACCGCGAAATAAAAATCCGCGAACTTGGGGGGCCCCTGTACTTATTACTGTATTTCCTGAAAAATCACCAATAGTAATACAGTACAGTAATAATAATAATAATAATAATAATAATAATAATAATAATAATAATAAATAGCTGGTGGAGTTTCAGCTTATGGCTGGGGAGACAAAACATCAGAACACAGGAAACCTTTAGAGAGAACAAAATTAGAACATGGAATATTCAATGCAAAAAGAATGAATGAAATAACAAAGATGAGGGATAGTAGTTTACAAAGTATCACAGATGGTTGAGGAGACAGAAAGGATTACTCTGGCAACTTCATAATAAGTTGTGTGTAGCACCGACCTTTTCAATGACATGATTAAGATAATGAGTGGAGGGCTGAGCTTGAAAGGTTTCCATAGCAACACAAGCGGAAGCATCCTGCGACAAACTACGGTGAACAGCATTGGATGTTGTTGCAACACCAAACACGAAAACAATGGGTAAGTTACAACGGTGTTCACTGAAACAAGAACATTTTACACCACATTAATTTCATGAACACATAGGAAATTCCAGTAGTCTCACTTGCTAGAATCTGAAGTCTTTTTTATCATTGCAGTACAGTACAGTATCAGATGTCCAGAGAAGGCACATCCAGCACTCTTTGAGGTATATGAAAGCAGTGACCTAAAATAATATCAAACTTTATCCTTGGTACTTAAATTCCCAAAAGTATAATCCAAGCTTTAATAAAGAGGCTGCAGGAAATTATTGGTGATAAGTGTCCAGTCTAACATGAGCACGTGGAATATTGCACAACAAAGAGCCAGAACTTAGCCACAAATCATATGAACAAACACATCACTCATCCATATACCGTGTAGATCATTTGTAAATTGAATACTGTTGGATGAGCCAAATATATAAATTTATCATGATAGACACATATCAGCATCAAAACAAAAATCTTTCTGGGATAGCTATTACAGTTAACTTTGTAGTTTGATGACAGCATTTTTACATGTCTCTCTATCATAGCTAATTCATTTTGGTCACTCATTTTATTCCCACTTTTGTGAGGGTTGGATCAATGGACAAAGAAAATTCGAAGAGTACCTGGGCTCAATTATCAGGAGTTGTAAGGTGATAAAGTTGCAATATGAGGTGGGCCAGACCCCTTACTGTGCTAAAGCAAAGTTCACAGGTCCATACACTAAGTCTGGCATAAAATCCACAATTGTCTCTTTTGAATTATCATATTTAAAACTCATGCAAAGCAAACACTCATGCATCCCTCCATGGCAGTGAAAAATAAATTAATCTACACATTTTCTTCAATATCCCCAAAGCGTATGTGATAGTTTTATGGATCATCAAGAAGTCAACTTATTACTTACCTGCAGATCAAAATAAGGTCATGAAGAACATTGGCTGGAAAATTTTCTACATCTTCTAGAATAACTACGAGAGGTGGGTGATAGCCTCCTCTAGGTAAACGTGGTTCATCATTTAATCTCATCCGCTTTTCAGGTGACCCAAAGTCTTTGACAGATTTCATATCTCTGGACTGGAATCCCATGGGCTTGCGAGGAGATCCTTTGGGCATGCGAGGAGAACCCATGGGCTTGCGTGGAGATCCCATGGTCTTGCGAGGAGATCCCACAGGTTTGTAAGGAGATCCTACAGGTTTGTAAGGAGACCCCATGTCTTTATGTGAACATCCTGCTCTTTTTCGTGGAGAGCCATGAGATTTAGAAGTAGATTCTCTGGTGTCTTCTGCGCTTATAATTTCCTGGAAATTGTATTAAATTAGAGGCTTTTTCACACAAAACATTATCAAATTTTGTCAAAGTACAGTACACTAAAAATGGAATAATGATCCAACCTTTAACTATTTAGAATAGCTTATCTTTGAACCTATTGATCAACACACTGAAAAAATTACCCCTTATTTACAAGAACCCTGAAAAAAAATACAATACCTGGTACTGTATATGAATACAGTACAAAGAATTAATGACACTTCACAAAGAAAGCCAGAGAAAAAACTAAGACAAAAAATACAATTTAGCTGCCAGGTTAGATTATCCACAGTGCAGTAAGACCACTTACCAGATGGTCTTCTTATTACTTACCTTATACCAGGAGGTCAGAACAGCCATAGTGAACTGGGCCCTCTTGATGGATGGTCCTGTTATAATTTCATCTTCAAACTCAGGATCTACAAAGCCATTCTGCCCCATCAACTGTGAGATCATCTTGAATATGGCACCTCTGTAATTGTCAAAATTTTGGTTGAAGGTAGAGATCATATTCATTTCTGCCAATCTCACTCCCATTCTACTATGTATACTGTACACTGTATCATTAGTTTTGTTCACTTTATATGAACCCTTTAATGGTGGCAAATTAATGGAGAAAAGCCAAACATCTTCACCTGACAGTGTTGCAATCTCGACTTTGAAGTTTTGCAATATGTGGAGTCACACCATCGACTAAAAGACGAACCAGACTCCCAAAAATTGCATCATGGTCGGGCATGTTCACCCCGGTCACCAAACATGCAGTGGGGATGTCACTTTGACCTTCCTTGGACTTGATGCCATCAATCATAATATTACTTCTCATTCCTGCATCTCTAATGAATTCAACCAAATCTTGGAAAACCTTAGCATGAATACTGTCTTGCAGATCCTGAAATTAATACAGTACAGTATTAGTTTTGCACAAAAGATGAATAAAAAATATTGAGAAACAATTAATTTGAAGTTTAACTAATGTTGTGTGGACTAGAACTGTGCAAGAAATAATATTCTAGTATGAGAAAATTCACAATAAAGTGGACATTCTCAGTCTATGAGAAATTGTTGCCTACTGTAGTTTTGGGAAATTCTCTGAAAAATTTAGGAGCTTTTTATGACAGATAAATGCAGATGAGTATAATCCAGTACTTCACCCTCTATTTAATGGTAAGATCATAATAAGGTCAAAGAAAATATATTCTAAAGATTAGCCCACCCTAGCATATTTCACCTGATCATTAAATGCCCTAATGCTACTAGGGGGTTAAGTTAGGTAAGGGGGAATAAACTGGGGGAACAAAACATCAGGTGATCCCAAAGAGAAAATTTATTAACAACTGAAAGGTCATCTCGTTTAATGGTATCTACCGGTATATGAATGCTTTAGTACTGTAATCATAAGTTATCTCTGAGCACTTGAATACAGGAATGCAGAGAAACTCATCCCCTTTCATTAAATATCACACAAGTAAAACACAGGTCCCTGATTCAGATCAATAAATATTCTATGGTATTGTTTATTGATAAGCTACAATATTCTATTTACTATTCACAAAATAAAAAGACTTACTCCAGTATTATTAAACAACATCTTCCCTTGAAGAGGGTCGTCGTGTTTCAACCCGAGTTTTAAACTAAATGAGTCCTGGGGGACACCGCAGTACAGTACTTAACGGGGTGGTGTGGCGGTAAAATGAACTAATTCCAATAAAATTAATTTATAATATTGGAATTAGTTAATTTTACCGCCGCACCACCCCGTTAAGTACTGTACTGCGGTGTCCCTCAGGACTCATTTAGTTTAAAACTCGGGTTGAAGCACGACGACCCTCTTCAAGGAAAGTTGATGTTTAATAATACGGGCGTTAGCCTTATACACACTTACATTAAGAATATCAGTGACTTTCTGCCAACATCTAACATAGTTCTTGTAGGTAAGACCTTTAATCTCTGCATCATCACCCTCTGTCCAGTAGTCCCGGGTTGAGGGACCATCTACATTTTTCCTATTTTTACCCTTTCTTCTCTTGAAGGCAAATACACCCTGAAAACACAGAACATATTCTAGAATATTACCTTAAAACTTAATACCTGTATTAGACCTGCTAATCATGAAGGGAAAAACTGAAGCTCAAAATGCTATATGTACTGTAAATAACTACAGTACAGTACAGTATTTTATGTACAATACAGTATAAGACATACAGTAGAGTATATACAAACACAAATTTTCTTGAGAACTCTGGAAAATTATTAATAAACAAATAAAAAACACAGAAATTAAATTTTTATCTTGCCACAACAACAAAGAGACAGCTGCATATGCATCATCAGAGCACCACAATTTATTACAGCAATAAGCGAGCTGTGGCCGTGAGCTGTGGCCTCCATGTCTTTGGCATTCCAATGAAATTAGAAAAAGATCACTAAATTCTGACTACAGTAAGAAAATTCATTCAGCAATGTCATTTAATCATATTTTGGAATGCAGAGGCTGGTAAGTTTTTTCCCATAAATTTCTTGGTTCTAACTGTTCAAGGCTTTTTTTATAGTCTTTGCTGTTTATGGAGTAATACAGTAATCTAGAACAGTGTCCCTCAACAACTAGTACCTTTAACAAAAAAAATTCTGTAGAAAAAATCTTCTTTCTTACCTCATGAATATCCAAAGCCTGGAGGAGGAATTTTAACTTTCTTACATTTTGTTTTGGAGATTTTTCCTAGTTTAAGTACAGAACAGTAAATACATTCTGTCACATGAGGATGCCATGTTTGCATTTCAATTGTTGACATACCAGATGCTGGCAGATGCCCATCCCACTTTGGGTCACAGTTCAAGGTTGAAGAAGCCACATGTTCGGAAAATTGTGAGGGTACACTTTTTTGGAGAGAGAATTGTGAACTTTTGGAATAATCTGCCAGAGAGTGTTATGACGGCACCAAGTGTGAGCCGATTCAAGACCAGACTTTACCAACATTGGCACAAGTACAGATAGATTCTGGGGCCAGTACATGCCCAGTATTTGCCAACAGTGAGTAACAGAGATGTGACCGATTGCTCAAGTGACTAACTAGCCGATCAGGTGAGAAGAGGATAAAAGTAAACGGACAAACACTTCCAGTAGCCTTATGCAACCAAACCTACCTAACCTAACAGAAATTAAATTACCAAACCTAACTTAAAATAACATACTGTACTGTACTGTACTTCCACCTAAAGATAATTAGGTTAAGGGTAATACTCTAGAACATTGCCCCCTGAGAACCAACAACTTAAAATAATATATAAAATATATATATATATATATATATATATATATATATATATATATATATATATATATATATATATATATATATATATATATATATATATATATATATATATATATATATATATATATATATACATATATATATAAAAGAAAACTAGTTTCTTATCTCAAGAATTTCTAAAACAGTGAAGGAATTCAAAATGCAGTATCTTAAAACTTTGTGTTGGTTTTTATTTGTTTTTTTTTCGCCCTGAACATGAATATACACCAATGTGGCTCCTGGCAATATTAGGTGAGGTAGGTTTGGGTAGGTAATATATGACAAACTTTCTGGGTAATGTTCGGGCAGTTGCTGGGAAGCATCTTTCAACAGATGAAGCACAAGCATGGTGTCCACAGGTGACAGAACATAAGTTAAAGGGGCAGGTTAAGTTAGGTTACATTTCTTTCTGTATTATAAATATGTTTTTTCTTAAGGTTTCTGATGAGTTTCGAACGATTTTTGCCTGTTTGTGATTTACCTAACAAAAAACGAGTGATTCCGGAGGTTATTGAATATAAATTCGTTCGACTCACCCAAAACCATAGGAAAAACATAATTTTAATATCCAAAGAAAGAATGGTGTTTCTCTATAAATTTACCGTGTTTTTTTGTTTGATAATCCTAGAATAACCAAATACTGTACACAAATTTTGCCACAGCCAATAAACGAATATTAATCAGGTTAGGTTAGGATATCTAAATACAGGGATCAAAACGAGAATTTTACCTCTACTTTTTTTCATTTTTTGCTTAATATCAAGTCTAATACACTACTGTTACATGGACAAACCAAGCCTAGGATACTTACCTTGGGTTTATTTGTTTGGACGAATCAGTTATATAATGTAGCATTATAGGAATCCCTAAAGTCATAACTCATAACGTGACAAATAATTTTCTAGATAGAGACGAATAATGAAGGCTGTGATATAGTTATCTTCTTGAAATTCAGAGCTCAAACAATTTACTATACACACAATTTATCCATAATATTCCATGCATGATAACAACGGAATTTTTCATACAAATTTAATGTTTTACCTTAGAGACAGACACTGTGGCAGCCATCACCAGGGGCAGGCTATCAGCTGTTGTTGTTGTTAAAAGTTCGCGCCAATTTCCTGACAAACTTCAAGATTCACGAGTAATAAAGTCCTGTTTTATAATAATTTGATAATTATGTTAGTTATAAGTAAAGTAATAACAGCAATGCGTCCAAAAATGAACTTGAATGAGGGATATGCTACTCCCGGAATAACCAGTGTACTTTAATTTTAATTTTATCCTCTCTGCCACTGATCGGCTTGTTAGCCGCTTGGGCGGTCGGCCTCGTCTCTGTACACTACAGTATACCCATTTAATAAAACAAATTATTCATGATTTTTCACAAATTTGTCTGAAAATTTGAACGATTTTTTTCAGGACGTTGTAAAAAATACAATTTTAATTCATTCAGGGGCGAAAAAGTAATTTTTTGTAATACCCGAACAGTTGGAAGAAGCATCAAGGCTGCGTTCAATTGCGTTCTCGTATTTTTATTATGCGTAGTGGATATTGTGCCGTGACCAGACAAATTCCTACTAACGCAATTTTACCGTGATTGCACTTTGATTGGCTAAGTACTTCCTAGCCCCTCGGCTAGGAAGTTAGGGGAACTTAAGTACGTTTCTTTGGTTGGTTAAGTCAGGTTATATTGGGTTCTAGTAAAAGTCGCCTCTTTTATAATGTTAAGTTTCCATGCAGAACAGAAATATAATGGGGTATGTTTACAGCTAGAGTCACACTCAAATTTAGTTCTCGTGTTGTTCACCGATAATGGACGGTTAGCTAATCAGCGCACTCGCGGAAAAATAGCGTTAGTAGTTGGAACTTACCAGTCAGTCAGTCACACGGCAAAATATCCGCTGCCTATTTTATATGTGTATTAGTTTTGATTTTCTTATATACACCTTGATAATTGTACAGAAGGTTACCGGGAAATGGGGAATATTAAAATTTCAATGCATCTCGAGATCTAAATTCCTCTAAGCCCAGAGCCCCTGCATCAATTATATAAATTACTTGAATATGTATGAAAATGTTCTGTGGACTTTAAAAAAGTTTAAACTTAGATTTTTTAAATATTCCTAAAATATTTATCCTCCATAACTTAAAAAAAAAAAATTCTGGTTCATCATTCAATTGCTACTGTAGTCTCCCATAATTCCTTTGATCATTAATCAATACAGTATTTATTAATATCTTGTTTGTGGTATTTTGCGTGATATTTCGTCTAATAGGGTTTAGAGATATATCTTTATACCTTGATTGAGATCACCTGAAGATTCGCCCCCCCCTCCCCCAGCATATTTCGCCTGAATATTAGTAGCGCTAACCTGGGTTTCACCAGATATTTTAGCTCTATGCCAGATGTTTCAAGTTATGGGTAATATAGTGGGATATTACAAGAATGTTCAAACTTATCGAGAAAACGCTGGATAGCTTCAAAAATAGGTTGGATGGATATATGAGCGATAGGGGTTGAGTGCAAACGGGACTGCCCGGTATGGACCAATAGGCCCGCTGCAGTTTCCTCCATTCTTATATTCTTATTTTATTAAATGGTCTATATTATCCGGCAACACTGCGCGCCAGTACGTTACCGTTCAGAGCCAAGGATGGATTTTGTTGCTGACCCTCCTGCCAGGTACTGTAGTGTAGCTTCCAGTCGTGCTCCTGCACCATGCCCTGCACCGATCGAGTCTCGCATGTGTGTGTTAACATTTGCAATCAGAGGGGTTACTCTACCAAGTAGGAATTGATACATGTCTGTTGACATACAAATGTAGTGCCTGACATCATTTGCCTAGCCAAGTTTTAGTTCACTGAATATTTGATTATAGCTTCCTCTATTTTTGTCTAAGATCCACTGTGGTCTACACTTTTTGCTTTCCATCACATGGGAGACGGTCAGAACACTTAATAGCGCTGCTTTGCGGCGGCGATTGGGACTAGGAGCCATTGGCCTACCTACCTACACGGGTAGGTAGGTATACTGTACGTGTGAAGTTTGTGAACCCAAACTGCTGATCAGCGATCTGTACCGTGTTTCGTTCACCATGCTCCCGGTGAAATAAGCTGGAGGGAGTGAATCTTCGGGTGGTCCTCCTGTTAAATAAAAATCTTCAAATCTGAGTATTAATTGGAGCTAATAGTTCAGTTAGTAATGATCAGAATAACAGTAAAAAAAATAGCAGTACTGTATATGCTTCATTTTAAAACTATTATTAACTAGAATTGCCTTCTTTCAAAGTCTTAATGCTAACCCAACCCCACCTAACCTAATAAGCTGGGGTTGCCAAACTAGGTTATTCGACATAATTATACAAGTTATGCTGTGTTTCATTCCAACATTCATCTACCTGAGTGTAACTGATAAACGAAAAAAAAACAGTCGTAAATGATTTGTTACTGGGTCGAAAACCTTGAACTTTGTGAGAAGTTAGCAGCTTGGTCCAACAAACGCAGGCAAAGTTTGATTAATTTCTGGGTGGAATGGTAAAATAGATAGATACGTAGGAGAAATGGTTATATATGCAAATGAATCACTGTAGGTGCGCGTGATCCATGTATATGCCGATAACTACATACATACATACATACATACTATATATATATATATATATATATATATATATATATATATATATATATATATATATATATATATATATATATATATATATATATATATATATATATATATATATATACACGTGTGTGTGTGTGTGTGTAATTATAAATACATACATAGAAAGAAGTATCTTCAGAAAATTCGTTGATATTCGATTTTTTAACAAGATATGCCCTTAAACACAACTAAAGTTGTATTTCAACACCCACTGATAATAAAATTTCCACCAAAAGAGTACAGTTTAATCAACACTATTACAGCTACACACATAAGTTGTGTATTACTGAAACACACAACAACAACAACAAGAGTATTACATTAATGCTTTGTATTCAAGGAAGTCATTTAAATAAGATAACGTAAATGTTCAGTGTTATATCAAGGTGGTGTAGGTGGTGTAGGCGAGGTAATGGTGGTGTTATTGGTGTTGGTGTGAGGAGGTGCTGTTGGTGTCAAATGGTGGTGTCGTTACTAGGTATAAGTGTCAGGTGGTGGTACAGGTGGCAGAGAGGCAAGTGGCAGCCAGTAGGTACAGGTGGTAGATGTAGGTGAAGAAGCTCCAGGTGGGGATCGACTCGCTGGAAGATGCCCCAGGTGACGCGTCGTGTTGCATGGCGGCCGAGTTTTCACCTGTAAGACGTTAATTACGTCATGGAATGTGCTTACCTGAAAATTAGTCCCCCAGTTCATTTCATCATAGGATTAACCACTCTTACGATAACCTAACCTAATATAACCTAATCTAACGCAATGTAACGAAAACCTAAACTAACTCCAGCTAGCGTTAGGGTGTTGATTATCAGGTGAAATAAGCTTGGAGCTAGTCTTCAGGTGACCCTGTAGTTGTGTTATATATATGTAAACCATACAAGCTTTGAGAATAGGGGTTGTTGTGTCACGGATTGAGGGTAAATAATTGACACACACACACACACACACACACACACACACACACACACACACACACACACACACACACACACACACATACACACACACACATACACACACACACACACACACACACACACACACACACACACACACACTCACCAGCCAACACATGCACGGTGAGGGCGTCGCTGGTGTAGTTACTGTACCAGCAGGAGTACACGCCGGAGTCTGAGGGCCTCGCGTCAGCCACGTACAGACGACTTCTGATGTACCCCCAGGCTGGTTCTCCCCTCACGCTGTGTGGGAGAGGGAACTGAGACACAGCAGGATTGTTTTATTTCATATATTATAACTGTATAAGAAAGAGATGAGAGACGGATGAAAGGATAGAGATTTCAGTATGAAATATTAAGGATCATATTGCTACACCTCTCTCACTGTATATGGGGGAGAAATGACAGACAGGGATAGTGAGGTATACAGGGAGGTGACAGGAGAAGGGTGTGGGTGGGTGAAGGTGACTCAGGGGACTCACCTAATGCCTCCCCTGGAGGTGTTGAAGGAGAGGGTGGTAGCTCCCCTGCGCCAGGTGACGGGGCCAGGTGGGAAGGGCACTTGGTCGATGACACACTTGAGTTCTATCATACTGCCGCTGTTGTAGTGTTTCTCTCTGACCTCCTCACCTCTCTCGTCCACCACCCGCGCCCTCGGCTCTGTGAGAGTGTGCAGGGTGAGAGCTGAGACGTGAGAGGTAAGAAGTGAGATGCTGAGAGGGAGTTATGGAACTGACGACAGCTCAAACTCAAAATACAAATTAACCCCTTGAGGACGAGTGTTTAAGGTCAACGATCGACGCTATAAACCTCAAGGGTTTAAAACATCATTCTCGAAGGGTTAAAATGCATATTACTTCACTCACCACAAACATTGAAGCTATGACAAACAATACAATAATGAAGAGTCAACTTGTGACATCACCAGTCACTACCAATGACCGTAAGTTATTCTGTGACAATCAAAGTTCTTACCAATGACAGTGAGTTCATATGACTTCATGGAAGGACTTACCAATGACGGTGAGAGCGGCGGACAGCAGCAGGGGAGGCTGTGTGGCCACCTGACAGCGGTACTGCCCCTGATCATTCAGCTGAGAGTCGAGTATTACCAGCTGCCAACGGCGCCATCTGTCCCCTGTCTCCCGCACCAGCGAGTACCTGAAGGATCCAACACCCGTATAACTCTGGTGACGTAACACTTGTATTACTTTAATGTAGCATAACAAACATCTGTTACGTATGCATGGCAGATGTTCTCATACACAAGTGATAATTATTCAAAATACGTTCTAGAAACTTTTATAGGACATAAAATATTATTACCATATGTATTATATTGTTGTTGTAGTCATTTTATTATTATTATTATTATTATTATTATTATTATTATTATTATTATTATTATTATTATTTATATTATTATTATTATTATTATTATTATTAATTTTCATTATAATTATCATTGTTGATTTCATTGCTGTTGCCGTATTATTACTATTATTATTGTAATTCTTGTGACATCATCTTTATTATTATTATTATTATTATTATTATTATTATTATTATTATTATTATTATTATTATTATTATTATTGTTAGTATTATTATTATTATTATTATTACTATAATCATCATCATCATCATTATTGTTAAATAACATCCTCTTCTCAAACAGGGACAGTTCTGCACATATTTCTTCCTTCCTTCTCGACGCCGCTCGTACACAAGCGTGGCCATGTTGTACGACTTGCAAAAAAAAAATCATTATGGTTGGGTACACGAAACAGCAAGATGGCAGGAAAATCTATCACATAATTAAGTTCCCCGTGTAGCAAAGAAAACAATATATTTCTCAATTTCTCCCATGTACAGTAGATTTAGTCCAGAGAGAGAGAGAGAGAGAGAGAGAGAGAGAGAGAGAGAGAGAGAGGGAGAGAGAGAGAGAGAGAGAGAGAGACTTTCATCACCTCTGGCCAATATCCTCGTCTCTGGTACAGTCTTAACTAAGTGACTGTGTTGATCCTTCGGTAGGTTTGAGTAACCTCTCTCTCTCTCTCTCTTTATTTCGCCTTTTATCTGTCTTCCTTCCCCCTATTTTTCCTCTTATACCTGTCCACATTTCTCTTTTATCGTCAGTTTTGTTCTACCTTTAGTTCTCTTACCTCCTCTCTCTGTCTCTTATCCTTTATTCTCTCTCTCTCTCTCGTCTCTCATCCGTCATCCTCTCTTTCTTCTCACATTCGTCATCCTTTCTCCCTCTCCTCATCTCTTCCCTCCATCTCCCTGTCCCCACCTTTTTCTCTTTCCTCCACACTTCTCCCTCACACACACACACACACACACACACACACACACACACACACACACACACACACACACCACAACTCACGTTAACACAATATATATTACATTCCTCCACTGTGTTCCTGGCCATCAACCCCCCAGCCCCAGCACCCAGCCCCAGCACCCAGCCCCAGCACCCAGCCCCCAGCCCCAGTACCCAGCCCCAGCACCCAGCACCCAACATGTCGTGACAGGCAACAGCTCCTCGGGTTTGACTAAACTTAACTTATTTAACTTGGGGATTCCTTCTGGTGTTTATTGCTGCTGGAACTGTGGGAATTTTGTCAGCTATTGTGTACTGTTTCTCCTGATATGACTGACTGATCGACTGAATGGCCAATGACGTCTTTCTGGGGCACAGGACCAGTTTCCGCACTAACGCAGCTATGTTTCGTGGCCATTGTTTGTATTGTTGCTGTGATTAGATTTTGTTTTACTTGAGGTGAGTTTGTTTTAATATAATAAAAATAATAATAATAATAATAATAATATATCGTAGTTTAAGCTGAGCAAATGCAACCAAGAATTTGTAAATCGAGGCAACAGTGAGTCTATATTTGACACAATAAGGGTGAACAGGACATGACTTACTTACCTACCTGGGAGAGAGAGAGAGAGGAGGAGGAGGGGGAACTGAGAGAAAGAGGGGAGGGAGGGGGTGAGTGAGATAGAGGGAGGGAGGAAGGGAGGGAGGAGGAAGTGATTGGGAAATGGAAGGCGACGATGACGATGGAGGAATGACGAGGATAATGAAGAAAGACAATGAAGAGAAAGACGATATTGAAGTAGATGGTGAAGAGGACAAGGAAGGCGATGGAAGGAAGACAAAGACTCACCTGACATCACTAGTGTAGGTGTGGGTGTCCCATGTAAGGAGTTCTAACACGTCTCCAACACGTCTCAACCACGACACCTGTAAGACACACTAGGTGGGTGAGACACTAGGTGGGTGAGACACTAGGTGGGTGAGACACTAGGTGGGTGAGACGCTTGGTGGGTGAGACACTAGGTGGGTGAGACACTAGGTGGGTGAGACGCTTGGTGGGTGAGACACTAGGTGGGTGAGACACTAGGTGGGTGAGACACTAGGTGGGTGAGACACAAGGTGGGTGAGACGCTTGGTGGGTGAGACACTTGGTGGGTGAGACACTAGGTGGGTGAGACACAAGGTGGGTGAGACGCTTGGTGGGTGAGACACTTGGTGGGTGAGACACTAAGTGGGTGAGACACTAGGTGGGTGAGACACGAGGTGGGTGAGACACTAGGTGACCTGGAGATTATACCATTAGTAGGCCTATTATCATCGTCAGTATTATTATCGCCGCCGTCACCACCCCGACTATCATCATAATCACCACAACCCTCTCAATTATCACCACAACCACAACTATCACAACCACTAGCATTCCAGTTACCATCATCCAGATCAATTAACCACTAATTACATTTACATCAATGGATGATTACAGGTCATCAAGTCATTACAGCTCTACACAAATCCATTACGCTGTCGGACACAATTTTGGAACATCATCAACATACCTGTGTTATTACAAGAACTTAATTACTGAGCTCAGTTGTAATGAAGAATTCTATTTGGGGGTGTATAATTACATAAAAAAATAGGTTATACTTTTGCGTAAAAGCAGAACATACAGTAGCGAGTGTAATGCATAAAATAACGCGCGTGTAATGGGGGTCAAATAAATAACGTGGTTGAAATAGAGACCCCATGTATAAAACAATAATGTCGACCAGGTTGTGTTATTCATGTGTTTCTCTTTATCGTAGGGTTGTTGATGTTTAAGTGAGAGGTTTAGAGGAATTTGCTAAGGACACTTTATTTCAAGGGCAATGTAGAATGTTGTTTAGGGGACAAACAGACCATGTTGAGATATTTACGGGTTGCTCTTGTTCTCGGCCAGGGTGACTGATGTAATCATGTGCCTGCCGCTCGACATGGCCTCTCACACATCATCGTAGCAGTGAACATGGTGATGATGATGAAACCAATAGGCAAAAACAAGAGCTAAGAAGAATAGAGAGGGAAAAATATAAGATAAAAAGATTTTATAATATCAATACCATCACCACTACCATTACTACTACCATTACTGTAACCATTACCATCACCCTCGCCGTTTACAGCAAGTGTCTGAATCCTGAAAGTTTACTACACTATCACAAATTTGATGTTACAAGATGTATATGTCTGTGAATGCGTCTGTGTGTGTGTGTGTGTTTGCTTGCGTACATGTGTGTGTCTGTGTATGATAAATGTACCTGTGAGTGTGACTGCCATGTTTTTTTTTTATGGGGAATAGCCCACCCAGGCACAGGCCATCGACCCACAACGTATTATTATAAAAAAATAAAATAAATAAAAATAAATTCTCTATAAGGGAAACTGGATATAATGTGCTAACAAGTTCACCCCCGTGTCATGTATCGAAGAAAAGTACATATAAAGTATGAATAAATATATTGTACGTTAGTTTGAATATAAGTATATAAGTACATAGGTCAATTTGTAGTAATTGACATATGTAGAATAACGGGAATTTAATCTTTGGAATTAATAGTTTAGACAAATAAGACACTTCTATAACGATTCCCTCGCAAACGATTATAATATGCTGAGGGGCCCAGGGGGACGGAGCCCCCGGTTAGAAGGTTAGATTAGGTCATTTAAGAGGAAAAAGTCACAGAAGAAAAAATGTCTTAGAATTGTCTAAACTATAGATTGCAAAGATAAAATTCGCGATTCTAATTATGTCCTACAATATATATATATATATATATATATATATATATATATATATATATATATATATATATATATATATATATATATATATATATATATATATATATATATATAAAGTAGAGATTGAGAGAATATCACTGTAAATACTAATAAAGTTACCAGTGTCAGGTCCTCGTGTCACAACACTGCTGGATCATGGTCACTGTATAGTGGAGTACATATAGGTGCCCCCCCCTTCCCTTGGGTCTGCTATTGTTACAGACTTATTCAGGTTTTAGTGAACGTAAAGAATTCATAAATGAATTGCCGTCAATCGAATAAAGGGGGAAGAAAATACTGTAGGAAATGAAGAAGAATGAAAAAAAGAGAGAAAAGAGAAGATAAAGAAGAAAAATGAAGAGGTGGACTGAGATGAAGGGGATAAAGGAGAAAAATGAAATATAAGAAAATTTGACGATTAAGGAGAAAGAAGGGGATGAAGATGACGAAGTAGAAAAGGGCAGGCAAAAGACTAATTATAAACGAAGATGAAGAAGAGAAAACATGATGATGATGATGATGATAAAAATAAATATGACATTCTGAAAATCTTTTAGGGGAATCTTTGCATAAATTTTTCACCTGTTGTGAATACCCGATGATTGCAGCTCTCCTGAGTACCGCGAGACGTAACGTGAAATATGGGGGAATCGACGAAGACGACGCCTGTGAGGGGGAGTGACATCTTCCCTCATTGATTACGCTCGTGTTCCCAACAGCTCGCTCTCTGATTTTTTTATAACTAGTGTAATAACATAGAATACGCGATTAAAAGATATCACAGTAGTTGTTAATGAGTAGTGAGGGGCGATATGATCGAGGTGCATAAATGGAAGTCAGGGCTAAACAAAGGTGATATAACAAAAGTACTCAAACTATCCAACCAGGAGCGAACTCGTAGCAAATGGTTTTAAATTAGACAAATTTAGATTTAGACGTAAACACTGGTTTGGAAATAGAATAGTGGATGAGTGGAACAAGTACCAAACATCATCATTAACTCGAATACGCCGGATAGCTTCAAACATAGGTTGGATGGATATATGAGCGATAGGGGTTGAGTGTAAACGGGGCTACCCAGTACGGGCCAATAGGCCCGTACTGGGCAGTTTCCTCCATTCTTATGTTCTTATAACAACCTCTGGTAACACGGAGAACAGACATCTAGTACTCTTTAAATATATATAGAGAGAAGAGATTCCTAGATCTATTCAATAACTCTAAAATGGCTAGGAAAGTAAAGTATATGATTAGAAAGTTAAGAATATTCTCTTTATTATCTATTGAAATAAATAAAAGAGCAGTGAAATTGACAACTAAATCACAATCTCCATAAGTAGTCTAGTTATAAGTTTAGTATCGTAATATGTCCGCCAGTAACTCAGTTTTTAGAAGTATGCAAGGTATGTGGAGCACAGTTGCCTCTCAGCTCTCACACCGCCAGTAACTCTCACACTGTGAGTATGTGACTCAGTCAGTATGTGACATGAAGGTGTACTGTATATTGTGAGGATTTAACTCATGTGTCTGGCTGAAATATATATACATATATATATATATATATATATATATATATATATATATATATATATATATATATATATATATATATATATATAATATATATATATATATATATATATATATATATATATATATATATATATATATATATTATAATGAAATATATATATATATATATATATATATATATATATATATATATATATATATATATATATATATATATATATACATATATATATAACGGAATTCTTGCTATATTTTTGGCTGGCTTCACCTCATTTATATGCTAAGTGTATTGTGTTGGGTTCTAATATACAGCGGCGAGATATTTCATTATTGTGGTTGGAGTTATATTACTTTAGGTACTTTGGGACCTGTTATTCACTGTTGTTGTATTTATGTTTAGTTATAGTTTATGATTAGATTTTTGTTGCCATTTATTGTCTTGGCTTGGGAAGGTAAGGAATTTAACAGTAATTTAGAGCGGCGGTAAGTCAACAGTGTTCGAGCATACAACTGTCTTTTGTTTTGGTGCACTTATGGGTGACTTGGGATCCTAAAATAAGAAAAACTCAAATTCACACCAAAAACAGATTTTTCACCAGTTTTAGATATAACTAGAACAACACAATAACATCTATTTCACTTACTTCATCATATCTAGAGATAAATTAATGATTCAAACATCAGAAAAGAGAGAAACACAACAGAGAATATGCATTTTCGTGTGTTCCAAGGAGAGTCAAGTTTGGGGAAGTTCATGTTTAGGTAGACAAGAGTAATCGCTGCGACGTACGACTCACACACACACACACACACACACACACACACACACACACACACGACGGTAAATTTCCGGGTCACTAAATAAACAGTAAGTTTGTCAGGGTTTCACTGGAGACTCGCTCGCCTGGAACATGGTTGAGGGACGACCACTATAAATGTTGTGGACCAGCCTTAATGACACTTCATATATTCCTTTAAGTCCTGTCTTATTCACTTGGATTCTCCTCGCTTGTAAGAGACGTGAAGAGTGTGTTGGAGTATTTTATGTCCACTGAAAGACGTGAAGAGTGTATAGAAATGTGTTACGTGTGTATTAAGGACGAGAAGAGTGTCTTGGGATGTTTTATGTTTTGTAAGAGACGTGAAGAATGTATAGGAGTATGTTAATTAGGGATAGGAAGTGTGTTTAGAAATATGTCCTGTGTTTAGTAAAGGGCGTGAAGAATGTTTGAAAATGTATGTTTCTAGAATGTGTCACAAATTTAGGATCATGTTTAGAAATAGATTTTGTTTTGATTACGTAGTACCTTATATTTGGTAGGTAAATTGGGTTCTCGTTTGATACAATATTGGAAATCTTCTTGAGTACCCAGCGTCAGGTTCCATGTGTCTTCATGAAGGGTTAAATCTCTAGTATTTGTTTTGAAGACGGTACAAGTCCAGATGGAGTGTTTGTGTAGGCTAATTCTTTATTTCTCAACCGTAAAGGAAAGTTCTACTGTGTGTCTTCCTATTCTTCATCTTCCTTTCGTTGTCTTCTTTTTCGTCATCTTCCTATTCTTCTTCTTCGTCGTCTTCTTATTCTTCATCTTCTTATTCTTCGACGTCCTCTTCTTCATCGTCGTCTTCGTCATCCTTGCCTTCGTCAACATCTTTGTCATCATCATCATCTTCTTAGTCTTCTTCTCCCCTCCTCTCCTTGTTCTCCTTTTTATCCTCTTTCTTTTCCTCCTTTCTTTCTTTCTTCTTGCCAACAATTAACCACTGATCGTCACTCTTCCTGGTCTCAGCCAATTAACTGAAACTTGGCAGCTTGTGTCTCGGTCCAATACTCCAGGACTTTTTTTTTTATGTCTTCTGTTTGAGACTTTTTGAGGATTTTGTGGTGAGGGTCAGAGGTCAGAGGTCAGAGGTCAGAGGTCAGAGGTCAAACAACTCAAAGGCTTATATTTTATGCTCTTTGTTCAGTCATATTTCAGACTATTTTAGGTGAATGTTAGCATAAATAAATATACTTTGATGCTAACTCTACATATTGAGTCTAAATAACATCTATCTATTATTATTGGTCATGTATTTAGAGTCAAAGGACATATTAATACCTAAATTTAGTAATGTGGTGCATTTTTCTGCCATAAATCAACCAATTTATTGAGATTCCGAGCAGAGATACCATATTACAGGACCAAATTTGGATTTTTGTTTTTAAATATACTTTTGACCATTTTTGCAGTGGTCCAAGTTCACCAACAAGTCTTTTATGTTTGTTGATAAGAATTTCGGTGTTCTGTCAGGCGATGGCGACTTGATTCTCCCCAATTTTCTTCTTCATTATCAACAGCCTCGCCCACCTCCTTCCCTCTCCCCTTTACGGCATGTTACATTTCTTACATTCCTCCAACACACTTCCTCTTTCTCTTTCTCTCCACGTGTAAGTCATTCTCTCTCCCACACACTCATTGCCTCTCCCAACCACACACTCGCTACACCCTTTTAACACCAGCTACACTCTCACTGCCTCCCCTTCTCATCCCAGACACACTACACTACCTCCCTTCTTCCTTCACCACACTTCTAAGGTCTTCATTACCGATATCCTCAAGTAATCTAACCAGCAGCACTTTCTTTCTATGTTCAGGTGCTGGTTCTTTGTCTTCAGTTAGCAAAGGATCCACGATTTCCATTGAAGGTTCGTTGATCTCCCTGACGATGGAGATGAGATACAGGGAATCTATTTGTCTTTGCGATCCCTCGGCTGTGTCCTGTACCGTCGAAGGAGTCTCTTTGTCTCTGCGACCCCTCGGCTGTGTCCTGTACCGTCGAAGGAGTCTCTTTGCCCTGAGACCCCCTCAGTTCTGTACCGTCGGAGTCTCTTTTTTCCCAGACCCCTCTGCTGTGTCCTGTACCGTCGAAGGACTGTCTTCGTCTCTGCGACCCCTCGGCTGTGTCCTGTACCGTCGAAGGAGTTTCGTCTCTACACCCTCGGCTGTGTCCCGCGAAGAGTCTTGCCCTGGGACCTCGGCTGTGTCCTGTACCGTCGAAGGAGTCTCTTTGTTCTTTGCGACCCCTCGGCTGTGTCCTACCTGTCGAAGGAGTCTTTGTCTCTGAGACCCTCGGCTGTGTCCTGTAACGTCGAAGGAGTCTTTGTCTCTTTAAGGACCCTCGGCTGTGTCCTGTACCGTCGAAGGAGCCCTTTGTCTCTGAGACCCCTGTGTCCGTCGAAGGAGTCTTTATTTCGGCCGTCCCTCTATGTACCGTCGGAGGGCCGACAAAGTGAAGAAGCAAGATAACTGATGTCACCCAGACAGAAACTTTCAAGATTATTTGCCTTGATAATAACACCCAAACATTTACAGCTTGCGAAGGAAGGTTTATAGGTCTGAATAATGTTTACAGATGTATTTGTGAAGAGATAACTGTGATATATATATATATATATATATATATATATATATATATATATATATATATATATATATATATATATATATATATATAATAATGGTTGCCCTCGTGTTCGAGGATGGCCGGCTCAAGGGCCACCTAGGCGTGAATTTGTTTAAGGTGTAGAAGCTGTCGCCAACACAACAACCACACCCTGAGTTAAAGAGCTGCCTGACCCAGTGTCAACGAAAAGTGCGAGACCAGACAACTCGCCAACTGCACTGGCTAGCTATTACCCAGGAGCACGATAAGCAAATCGATTAACATCCAGGTCCCCAATTACTGCTGGGTAGATAGAGGCAAATGGCGTAAAGAAACTTGCACATAGTTTCACCAAGCCCGGGGATCGAACCCATATCCGCTCGCTTGCGAGGCGAGCAGGCTGACCGTTCCACCAGAGGTCGCCATACGCAAATATAAATAGACACACATACACACATACAAAGGTTACCCATAGGCTAGCCGGACCTAGGGCATCCCATCTAGGTGTGACATTGTTTAAGGTGCAGAAGCTGTCGCCAGAGTTAACGAGCAGTATAGCCCAGTGTTGGGGGAATAATCCAAAAAGACCTAACAACGACTCAACTGCACTGGTTAACCATTACCCCGGAAAACGATCTGCAAATACAGTAGATTAACATCCCGGGTTACAATTACTGCTGGATATATACATACATACATACATACATACATAGATACATACATACATGCATACATACATATTGTACATACATACATACATACATACATACATACATACATACATACATACATACATACATACATATATATATACATACATACATACATACATACATGCATACATACAAACTGTACATACATACATACATACATACATACATACAGGGAGACAGACAATTGCGTGTAATTGTGTCACAAGCAATCTATTTCGAAATTTCTCTCTCCTCGTGCAAATTGTGTGGCCCGGTGGAGCCCTAACGAGACGCCCCGCGAAAACATGGAAGATACAGTATTGTCTTTGATTATATTTCTGACAATTTTCTCGGGTTTTAACGCTTTGAGGACGATGGCTTAACCCCTTTGAGGTCGATGGTTTAACCCCTTTGAGGATAATAATTTAACCCTTTGATGGTCTAACACCTATGAGGAAATTGGTTTAACCCCTCAAAGTTCTTCAGCCATCGTTCCGAAAAGGGTTAAATCATCGTCCTCAAAGGGGTTAAACTATCGTCCTCAAAGGGGTTAAGCCATCGTCCTCAAAGGGGTTAAGCCATCGACCTCAAAGGGGTTAAACCTTCGTCCTCAAAGGGATTAAACCGTCGTCCTCAAAAGGTGTAAGCCATCGTCCTCAAAGTGGGTTAAACCTTAATCCTCAAAGGGGTTAAGCCATCGGCCTCAAAGGGGTTAAACCATCGTCCCGAAAGGGGTTAAGACATCGTCCTCAAGGGGGTTAAGCCATCGAACTTAAAGGGGTTAAACCATCGACCTCAAAGTGGGTTAAACCATAGTCCTCAAAGGGGTTATATCTCTGCCCTCAAAGGAATTAAACCATCATCCTCAAGGGGGTTAAACCATCGTCCTCAAAATAGGGGTTAAGCCATCGTCCTCAAAATGGGGGTTAAATCATCGTCCCCAAAGGAGTTAAACCATCGTCCCCAAAGGGGTTAAACCATCGTCCTCAAAGGGTTGAGTAGCTCGTAGTCGTTCTCCTGGATCAAGGAACATCAGATTCGTCTCCTACTGTGAACTCCCTCTGTGTTGGATGTCTGACGTGAGCGAATGTTACTGGATACTAAGTGCAAGTTGTATAGCCACGTCCTCTCTGGCTTGCATACGTCCAGATGTATCATTTTGTTTACATTCTTTCTCCCTGATTTTATACACATTCTCCCTGATTTTATACACATTCTCCCTGCTTTTATACAATCTACCTCATTTTATATAATCTCCCTGATTTTATACACATTCTCCCTGATTTTGTACACGTTCTCACTGATTTTGGATGCGTCCCCCCTTCTTTTAAACACATTCTTTCTCATTTTATACACTTTCTCCCTCCTTTTATACAGACTACCTCATTTTATACCAATTCTCCCTCATCTAGTACGTTTAAGGTGACTTTCTCAGCACTTTAGCTGTTTACAAAAGTTTACAGAATTGCAGCAACCTGATTCAACCACAACCCATCTTTACGTCATCTGGAAAAAAAAATAACTCTGGACGTACGGAACAACAAACATATTCTGCTGTTAAGTAAATGGATGGACGAACGCTCCCATTTTGGAGACGCAAGTGTTACAGGGGCGATGAGAGAGGTTGTTCCAGTGCTACAACAATAAACACGGTGGGGACATTTTTGGACAAAGGAACGACAACACGGTTTCTGCTGCTGCACGTAAAACACAATTTTTGTTTTTGTTGGGAGGGGGGAGGGAGGAGGGGGAGGAGGGGGGGCATATAAGCACCAACGAGGTCCACCTCCCTCCCCCCCCCCATTGCTACGGGGAAATTCGATATCTCTCTCTCTCTCTCTCTCAACTAGGACACAAACAAGCAGGTACTCACTGGTTCGTCGTGTAGGTCGTGTACCACACAGTCAAGGGCGGCAGTGGCCCCTAAGTGTACCGTCACGGAGATGTTGGTTGTACTCAGGTGAGGGGCCCACACTTCCTCCTCCTTGGGGGTCGTTGAGGCTTCCTGGTCGTCCTGGTTGATGTGGTCGTTCTGGTCGTCTTGGCTGGTGTGGTTGTCTTGGTCGTTGTGGTCGTGTTGGAGGACTGTGGTTGCCTCTGTCGACACAACCTCCTGCCACGTACTACCCCACCAAAATGACGAGGGGGATGACGATGCAGGTGACGATGACGTGAACGAGAAAGATGACGAGGAGGACGATAGCTTAGGAAAAGAGGGAGACGATGATGGAAATAACAATGATAATGATGATGGGATTGATGACGATGATGATGAAGTTGAAAGCAAATAAGTAACTGTCAAGGGCGAGGAGGAGGAGGACGATGAGAAGGAGGAGGAGGAGGACGATGAAGTGGAGGAGGACGATGAAGTGGAGGAAGACGATGAGGAGTAGGAGGAGGTGGATATCGTCGAGAGGAGTGACGACGATAATGGCGACGACGATGAGACGACTCGAAGTGAAGCTGAGGAAAAGAAAAAACTTAAACATTAATAACGACAAAAAAAATTTCCTAAAAAGAAATAAAAAAAAATACAATGAAATACAATAAATAAATAAACGAGAACAATAAGAAAGAATAATAGAAGACGTGTTTTCTTTTAGAGAGAGAGAGAGAGAGAGAGAGAGAGAGAGATAATAAGAAGCTGCAGGTAAGGGTTTCAGTATTTTAAACTTTCTTAAAACTCTCACAGAATAATTTTACACCTTTACAAATTCTGCTAAGATACAGGTGAACGGCGAGGTGTGAGAGGAGGGGAGGGGGGGGGTGAGAGGGGGCGAGAGAGGTGTGAGAGGGCGAGAGAGAGAGAGAGAGAGGTCTGAGGAGGGGGATGAGAAGGCGGTGAGAAAAGTGTAAGAAGGGAGAGAGAGAGAGGGGTTAAAGGTGAGAGAGGTGCGTGAGAGAAGCTGAGGAAATGGTGAGAGGTAAGCAAGATAAAAATGAGAGAGAGAGAAAGAGAGAGAGAGAGAAAGAGAGAGAGAGAGAGAGAGAGAGAGAGAGAGAGAGAGAGAGAGAGAGGTAGAGAGAGAGAGAGAGGACCCACACGCCACCAAGTACCATATACAGAGCCCTACTCTTTGTCTTGAGGCGATTTTCTATAGTTAATACCTGTCAAAGAGAAGTCACACACACACACACACACACACACACACACACACACACACACATATATATTATTGAGTATCAGTAGCCTGTAAACTCTACTACCACTATGAAACCAAATCAACCACCAACCACAATCACACTTTCACCAATCACACCCTAACCACAATCAACCACTACCATTATTACGAACCATCACACCTCCACAACAAACCACACACACACACACACACACAGCCACCACCAACACACACACACACACACACACAACCACACACACACACACACACACACACACACACACAGCCACCACCAACAACCACACCCCCCCCACCTCACCTTCACTACCAAGGACGAGATTAATTTCCTTAATCTAACTCAAGAGGTTTAATAAGCAGTCCCTCAGTGTCAACTTCAGGTGCCACTCACAACACATCTTCCGCCTCTGAAGAAAAAAACACCCTGTAAATATTATCCCCACGAACACCAATATGCAGTGGATGTGTTGGCTCAATGTCTTTTTATCTGGGCTGAGGAGAGACTATAGATCTGCACGAAACATGTAAATAAAAAACATAATTATATTTTCATCTGATTTATAATTTATTTGGGGTCGTTCAGGTGTAAACAACTATAGCTCACCCGTCTAACCTGAATTTGAAAGACATTTTTTTTTGTATGATGTCTAATTTACGTTAACTTTTGAGGACATCTGCTTGATTATTTATAGTCTACATTAAAGAAAAGGACATCCGCATAACCTCTATAATTTATCTTTGAAAATACCTGTAGGGAATTTAATTTACCTTTGAGAATACCTGTATCAAACTTAATCTACTTTTCAGGACACTTACTCATCGTATATGAAACTTAATCTACCTTTGAAGACATTTATGAGAAACTAAATCTACCTTTAAGGACATCTGTAAGAAACTTAATCTGCATTTGAGAACATCTGCATCATATGAATCTACTTTATCTTAAGGACATCTGCATAATATTCACCCCCCCCCCATTTAACTTCTCACCTGTATGAAGTTTTAGCGCATCTGTCTCAACTTTGGGGATAATGCTCATGAAATTGGGCAAAAGTCTAATGAGTCGTGAGGCCAAATATATCATCTCATTTACTCAGAGACCAAAAACAATAGCTTAAGTGATTTTCTGATAACCTAATGGTCACTGTGGAACATTCATGGGTACATTGGAACGTCCATGGCCACTGTAAGACGTTTATGGCCACTTTGGAACGTTTATGGCCTCTTTGGAACGTTTTTCTGGCCACTATTAGGCGTTTATGGTCACTATAAGAAATTTATGGTCACTGTCAGACGTTTATGGCCGCTGTAAGTCGTTTAGGGCAACTCTGAGACGTTTATGGTCGCTGTAAAACGTTTATGGGTACTGTTAGACGTATATGGCCACTCCGAGACGTTTAAGGCCACTGTAAGACGTTTATGGCCACATTAAGACGCTTAAGGCCACTCTGATACGTTTATGGCCACTGTAAGACGTTTATGGCAACTGTTAGACATTTATGGCCACTCTGAGACGTTTATGGCTACTGTTAGACGTATATGGCCATTCCGAGACGTTTATGACCACTCCGAAACGTTTACGGTCACTGTAAGACGTTTATGGCCACTCTGAGACGTTTGTGGCCACTCTGAGACGTTTGTGGCCACTGTAAGACGTTTATGGCCACTGTAAGACGTTTATGCCCATTGTAAGACGTTTATGGCCACTGTTAGACGTTTATGGCTATTGTTAGACGTTTATGGCCTCTCTGAGACGTTTTTGGTCACTCTGGGACGTATATGGCCACTCTGGGACGTATATGGCCACTCTGGGACGTATATGGCTACTATGAGACGTATATGGCCACTCTAGGACGTATATAGCCACTCTGGAATTTATATTGCCACTCTGAGACGTAATTGGCCATTCTATGACGTACAATCACTAATCTAAAAATCTTGATAACCTCAGTTCAATCACTCTACACCTGCGAATCCAATCTTAATCAAAGCCAAAAATACAGATCCCAGTGGCAGTGAGGATAATAACGTCGTATTTCAGCCAGATTAAATCGGGGAAAAGTTGGCGCCATCCACCTGTGAAATACCTCAGAGTGAGAAGCCTCTTGATTAGTGCTGTGAGTGGCAGGAAAATTGTTTGTATTTTTTTGTCGGGGGACTGGCGGAGGGTTACGGACCACACTGTGAGGTCATTTAAACTTGCACTAAATCTATTTTGTATTTAGATCAATGGATAGATAAATAGATAGATAGATGCATAGATAGATAGATAGATAGATGTATAGATAGATAGATAGATAGATAGATAGATTAAAAGTAAATTATATAAATAGGCAAAAAGATATAAAGACAGATAGAGAAATATATGGATAGATATATATAATTATTTGATAACTAGTACCTGTCGTCTACATTTACCTATGTCTGTCTAAAAACTCCAACCACTGTCTGTCTAAACTGACGGGGGTTCTGTGATTCCCCCCCTCCCCCTTCTTTTGTTCTCTCTACTTTTATATTTGTTATGTGTTTTCTATTTATCGATTTTTCTCTTGTTATTAATTGCTTTATTTATTTTCCCCTTTTCGTCTTTTATTTTCCTCTCTCTCTCTCTCTCTCTCTCTCTCTCTCTCTCTCTCTCTCTCTCTCCATAAAACCCCTTTCTATCTTCTTGTCTCTCAACCGTTCCACCAACTCATTTACAAAACTCAAGCATTAATCTTACTTATCGAGAACCAATATCGAGATAAATGAGACCCCCCGAAAAACAAAACAGAAAATGGGTCTAAATTTCGTCGCCTCTTACGTCACAACTAACTATTTTTATGTAAATTACTAGAAAAAAAATGCTTTGTAATTCAATATACGGAAAATAATCGTGAAGTATATTTTATTTAATCAGGCCTGATGTAATCTACTGTATAAGGCGAGACTGATAATAATAATAATAATAATAATAATAATAATAATAATAATAATAATAATAATAATAATAATAGCAGACTACGCCAACTGTAGGCAAAATAATTAATTCAGGTCTTTAACCAATAAGACAATAGCGTGGGAAAATTCAGCCAATAAGAGAACAGGAAATCAAAGAATGGTTTTTGCCTTGACCTTCAAAGGATACGTGAAATAAGCTTACCAACTCAATTCCTTTCGTGCTTCGCAAAGTTAGTTCTCTTATTGGATAAATTTATTCCCCCGGTGTTATTTTATTGGCTGAATGTTCCAGTGCTGTTGTCTTATTGGCTAAATGTTCCTGCATTGTTGTCTTATTGGCTAAATGTCCTGTGCTGTTGTCTTATATGCTAAATTTTCCCGCGCTGTTTTCTCATTGTTCTCTGAATGGCTAAATGTTCCCTTACTGTTCTCTGATTGGCTAAATGTTCCAATACTGTCCTCTGATTGGTAGGTTAGGTAAGCATTAGGGTGGATAATCTTCAAGTTAAGGAAGTTGGAGAGCGAATCTTCAGGTGATCCATATAAACAATCAATCTCTTCACCTGTTGAGAGCGTGAGGACCTACCTGTAACACAGAGGGCCGTCGACGTCAGCCACCCCAGCAGCAGCAGGACCTTGTTTTTCCTCAGCATCTCTCCATCTGGCGGTGACAGGAGGGGGGTGAGTAATGTCTTGTTGTATAACTTGACCTAACAGTTCAACCTAACAAAGACTACTTAGAATATAAACCTGAACTAAATTAATTCATTTAATCTAATTGATCCTAACCTACCCCAACTTAACTTAACCTAACTTAACCTAACCTAACCTAACCTAACCTAAACCAACGACTGTAACATAATTTAGCCTAATATAAACTGATTAAATCTGTACATTTACCTTAACAAAATTAATCTAACCTTAATATTTACAAAATTAAAATTACATTCCACGTAATATAATCTAAATTATTCTAACCTAACCTGACCTAACGTGACCCAGCAGTAGGAAGGTCAAACACACACACACACACAATAAAATAATGGTATACGGGAACCAATCAGCTCACACCATCTTCGACGTGGACCAATCAACGCAAGTCAAAATTCACGTCATAGTTTGCCAGAACCAATCAACGCACGTCATACCCTCATGGAAGCTGATTTCTTATTTATTTATTTATTTTTCTTCAGCCTCTACGTCCGTCCGTCCTGAAGGTAATTTTGTCTGTGCTAGAATGAAGACAAAACGTTAGTGTTGTGAAACTCACTCTGGGCCGCCTCATTACTGACGAAATTACGCCACTCTCAGCGTCGCGTCCCAGCCAAAGTTGTGGTACCTCTTGGGGGAGACTCGGGCTGTGAGGGATAGTGCGCTGGGACGGGAAGGAGAAGGTGGGAGGGGAAGAAGATGGTGGGAGGGGAAGAGGAAGAAAGGAGGGGAAGAAGAAGGTGGGAGGGGAAGAGGAAGGTGGGAGGGGAAGAAGAAGGTGGGAGGGGGGGAGAAGAAGGTGGGAGGGGAAGAGGAAGGTGGGAGGGGAAGAAGAAGGTGGGAGGGGTAAAGAAGGGAGGAAGAGGAAGGTGGGAGGGAAGAAGAAGGTGGGAGGGGAAGAAGAAGGTGGGAGGGAACATTGTGGGGGGGGGGAGAAAATGGGGAAGGGGAGGGCAAAAACAGGAAGAAGGTGGGAGGGGAAGAAGAAGGTGGGAGGGGAAGAAGAAGGTGGAGGGGAAGAGGAAGGTGGGGGGGAAGAAGATGGTGGGAGGGAAGAGGAAATAAAGGTGAGGGAAGAAGATGGTGAGGGGGAAGAGGAAGGTGGGAGGAAGAGAGGAAGGTGGATGGAAGAGGAAGAAGGTGTGGGACGGGAAGGAGAAGGTGGGAGGGGAAGAAGATGGTGGGAGGGGAAGAGGAAGAAAGGAGGGGAAGAAGAAGGTGGGAGGGGAAGAGGAAGGTGGGAGGGGAAGAAGAAGGTGGGAGGGGAAAAAATTAACTTGGCTGTCTGGGATGTAGCGAGAGAGAGAGAGAGAGAGATAACTATGAAAAACGAGAGGGAGGGAAAGAAATAGTAACAGCAGTGTGTGTGTGTGTATGTCCACATTGACTTCACGTATGTATATATTGTATGTATAAATAGGTGCTTTGCATGTGTATATATAAGTATATTCATCACAACTAAAATAAAATAAAATACAAAAGCTCTGAAACAAAACAGTATCACACGCCGGCCATCAACACCTGCTTGTGACTTTCCTCCCAACCCTCTCGTCTTACTCTCCTTAATATTTACAAGTTGTGGATAACATGTGTGTTCAGGGCGGGTGTTAGATGGTTGTGTTCAGGGCGGGTGTTAGATGGTTGTGTTCAGGGCGGGTGTTAGATGGTTGTGTTCAGGGCGGCGTTAGATGGTTGTGTTCAGGGCGGTGTTGATGGGTTGTGTTCAGGAGGGGTGTTAGGATGGTTGTGTTCAGGGCGGGTGTTAGATGGTTGTGTTCAGGGCGGGTATTAGATGGTTGTGTTCAGGGCGGTGTTAGATGGTTGTGTTCAGGGCGGTGTTGTTAGCAGCTGTGTTCAGGCGGGTGTTGGGATGTCGTGCCCAGGGTGGGTATTAGATGGTTGTGTTCAGGGCGGTGTTAGATGGTTGTGTTCACAGGGCGGGTATTAGATGTGGGTGCCTTGTGGGCGGGTGTTAGATGGTTGTGTTCAGGACGGGTGTTAGATGGTTGTGTTCAGGGCGGGTGTTAGATGGTTGTGTTCAGGGCGGTATTTAGATGGTTGTGTTCAGGCGGGTGTTGGGGATGGTTGTGTTCAGGCGGGTGTTAGATGGTTGTGTTCAGGCGGGTGTTAGATGGTTGTGTTCAGGGCGGGTGTTAGATGGTTGTGTTCAGGGCGGGTGTTAGATGGTTGTGTTCAGGCGGTATTAGATGGTTGTGTTCCAGGGCGGGTGTTAGGATGGTTGTGTTCAGGGCGGGTGTTAGATGGTTGTGTTCAGGCGGGTGTTAGATGGTTGTGTTCAGGCGGGTGTTAGATGTTGTGTTCAGGGCGGGTGTTAGATGGTTGTGTTCAGGGCGGGTATTAGATGGTTGTGTTCAGGGCGGGTGTTAGATGGTTGTGTTCAGGGCGGGTATTAGATGGTTGTGTTCAGGGCGGGTGTTCACGGGTGTGCTGGCCTAGTTTACTCGTACAGTTATTGCTGGAAGGAAGTCATTACTCTCCATTATACCCCAGAATGTTATAGAAGGAGAGATCATTATACTGGGAAATATGATGATATTCCCGGGTAACTACGCATACCTGTGCCAAATATCTTAATGTTTATATTAAAACATCTGTTACCCGAAGTACCAGGTATATATATCGTAAAGATTTGTTCTTATGTTTAATTCAGAATAGTTTATTATAAATATAGTGTTTTGAGAATAACACTTAATAAAAAAGAAGGAAAAAAATTGTTTGGGATGAATATTCTGTTGGCAGTGGGCGGGTCACGAAGGTTCATATGACGTATGCAAATCTCAGAGCTCTAACGTTTGCATTTTTGTAGGATGAAGTAAGTTGTGTGTGACTGTTTTTAAAGGTCAGAATTTAATGCTACTCTTCCTATTTACTGCTAAGATCCTCCAATTATCATACTCAGGATGTTATTCTACTTCCTAAGAAGCTTGTAATCAAAGTTTATTAGACTAAGGTCTTTATTCACAAACAAAGTCCTCCCTATTCCTGAGACCTCACCCTTATACCTGATAATTGATTGATGTACTGTACAAGACACTTAGGCCTTATTGTAAATGCATTGGAAGTGGCTGTTTTCTACGATAAGGATATTACTTTCAGCCCAAACTATACTATTATGATAATGAGTATCGAGGGTTGGCATATATTATGAAAAGAAGATAAGTTCGTACCACTAAAACCTTTACAACGCGAGTAATTAAGAGCGCCAAGCGATATCGTCCTCCTTAGTGTTGCTACGCTCGCAGCAGGAACGCCAGACGAATGTGTTCTCGCCTCCTGCATGACTACCCGTGCGTGTTTTCAAGAGAGAAACACGAGTCACGAGGAAGGACCTACAGACCTCACGGGGCTGGGAAGGAAAGAAGGTTGGGCAGAAGGAGGTCGCGTGTAAAGGTTGCGACTCTCCAGGGAGAACTGGCTGCTAAAAATTACTTTCAATTTCCTTGACACCGAAGTTTCTGAAGTGAATCTAATATGGGAGAGATTTGACAGTGACTGGAGGAGGGTGAAGGAGGGCGGAAGGGATGTGCGTGGAACCTTGGTTTTAAAGGAGCGTGGGAACGTAGTTTAAAGGAGCGTGGAGCGTGCTTTCTGAATATCAAAGTGTCCTGTTTTATTAGGAGCATGGGGAGCGTTGAGGGCGTGGTTTCAAAGAAGCATTGAGGACTTGGTTTCAAAAGAGCGCTGAGGGCGTGGTTTCAAAAGAGCGTTGAGGACGTGGTTTCAAAAGAGCGCTGAGGACGTGGTTTCAAAGAAGCGTTGAGGGCGTGGTTTAAGGGAACGTTGAAGGCGTGGTGTTGACGCTACAAAGCTAGACTGGAAACTTCCTTGATTTCTACGTTTATTTAGTTACATTATAGTCTCGTTCTCTCTACGCAGACACTACGGACATAAACATTTACAATAAATAAAACAAAAGCTTAACTTACATATTCTGACAACCCCTTTTCCAAAATAAATCGAACTTATGGACGATATAAAAAAAAATATATATAGTAATAACTAAAATATATGGGATTAAATTTCCACCCCACCCCTAGAAAAAAAATCTAAATACTCCACCACTTACACAATAAAGTGAGATTTTTATTGAACAATTAAAGAGAGTTACTTCTTTTATTACTTTATTTCTCAGCGTAGCAAACTGCACCTGCCTGATCATTAAACGCTAATTGCCAGCGTGATGACTTTGTTTTGCAAATTGGACTAGGCGGAAGACTTATTTCCAAAGTCTGGGAGGATCCGAGAAGGACTTTTGTGTTTCCTTGTCCCGTAAAATTGGCTCAACAAGAGGACTCACTCGTCTAAAAAGCTTCACTCTAACATGTTGTATTGCCTTTTGTTGCCTCAGAGGAACACCAGTAATGGGTGGATATAAGACCTATTTTTAAGTTGGGTATTGTTTTGAAAATTGGACAAAATTAGAGACCAAATTACAATTACAAAGATCTTTTTTTTTACGGTCTAGTTTGTAAATTTGTCAACGTTCGAGACCAATTTACAAGGCCTGGATGAAAGACCTTTATTTTTACTGTCTGGTGTGATAATTTACCAACACGGAAGACCTACTTACAATGTGTAATTGAAACATTTTTTTTACGATCTGGTTTGTAAATTGATCAACGCTAGAGACCCATTTACAGTGCCCGGAGAGAGCCCTTTTCCTGTTAAGGTCTGTTTACAAATTTGTCAAAACTGGAGATAAATTTTTTATGAAAGGCTGGGCCCCAAGATCTGTTCTTTCTCTTACCTCTGGGAAGAACTAGAGACGATATATGACGGAGACGCAGAAGAAACAATAACAACAGTCAAGGAACACTTATAAAGACAGCAACAATAACAAATATCTTCTTACACAGCTACAACAACATCCATGGGACACTCAGAAGCCACGGCTCACTTACAAAACAACAACAACCAAAGTACCGTTAC